GTCTAAGGGGAGGAGTGGCTAAGGATTTAGGGTTTTAGCCTGAAGGTTCATGCGTCCTTAGAAGGGTTATATACCTCCCCGAGTTATCGCCATAGCTACCTATACCTACAGGTTCCCATGAACCTCCGAGAGAGGCTTGTGTCAGTTGTAGGCTCAGTCTCTTTAAGCCCTAAACCCTAAACCCTAAACCCTAAACCCTAAACCCTAAACCCTAAACCCTCAACCCTAAACCCTAAACCCCAACCCCTGAAGCCCTAAACCCGGCCTTGTGCTTCAGGGGAAGAGGCTCCAAGTTCTTGGGCACAGCTTCGCTGAGACCCTCGAACCTGGGATGCAGGATCCCATGGCGCTTTGAAGATGGGAACGAGGGGCGCCTTTTGTGGCAAACCCCCTAAACCCTAAGCCCTAAACCCTGAACCCTCAACCCTAAACCCGAAACCCTAAACCCTAAACCCCAAACCCTAAACCCTAAACCCTAAACCCTAAACCCTGAAAGCCCCTAAACCCTGAAAGCCCTAAACCCTGTAAGCCCCATAAGCCGAAAAGCCCTACAACCCTGAACCTGCCCAGGGGATTGGTTGTCATCCCTAAACCCTAAACCCTAAACCCTAAACCCCAAACCCTAAACCCTAAACCCTAAATCATGACGCTGTTCCAGGCACTCCACAAAGGGAGACGATCGGTGAAGCACGTGGCGAGGCCCGATGAGGGTGTGCCTCCAGGGTGCCCGAGGGTTTAGGGTTTAGGGTTGAGGGTTGAGGGTTTAGGGTTTCGTGCTTAGGATTTAGGGTTTAGGGCTACTTGCGGCATCCCATCAAGAGCCTCCCAAAACCCTAAGCCGGGTTCCCAATATTTCTGGAAAATAAGGGGAGCCCATTCTTGTTTGCTTCTGTGGGCTCATGAGGGATTGCCCCCAAGCAAAGTGAGAAAGGGCCTTTTCGGGGAACCTCAGTAAACCCAGACCAGGAAGGCCCGAAGGGTTCAGGGTATTTAGGGTTTAGGGTTTAGGGTTTAGGGTTTAGGGTTGAGGGTTGAGGGTTTAGGGAGGGAGCCCTTTCCCAGAATGAACGGCTCGTCATTGGTTCTCTATCCGGAGCATGGGGGACTTTGAGCTCATGAACCCTAAACTCTAAACCCTAAACCCCCAACCCCAAACCCTAAACCCTAAACCCCAAACCCTAAAGCCTAAACCCCAAACCCTACACCCTAAACCCTAAACACTGAACCCAGAGCCGCTCAAGCAGCACTTGACTATATCAGGCCGAGGCACATCGCCTGCAAGTTAATGAAGATGGATCCTTGGTAGCCCAGCAGCCATAGCCGTATAAGGGTACCCTTTTTGGGGGTTCGTTGCTGTATAAGGGAACCTTGAACCAAAAAGAGGGCAGAATACCACTGGGTTTCCATCTAAACCCTAAACCCTAAACCCTAAGCCCTAAACCCTAAACCCTAAACCCTACACCCTAAACCCTAAACCCTAAACCCTAAAAGCCGCCAAGGATCCGAAGGTGAAGACAGAGAGCAGGCGCCGAAGGGGGTGGCTCGGAGACCTTTGGGGCCCAATGAAGCAAGAGCGGGTGTAGGGTTTAGGGTTTAGGGTTTAGGGTTCAGGGTTTAGGGTTTAGGGTTTGGGGTTGGGGATTTCGGGTTTGGGGTTTAGGGTTTAGGCTGTGGACAGTACGACTCCTAGGGTTTACAGGTGTTGCAGGGCTCGAGGGGTTTAGGGTTCAGGGTTCCCTCACCCAAAGCCGAAGTGCCAGAATGCGCCAGGCATTGCATTATTCCGCTGCATACGAAGAATACGCTTTAGAGAACATCGTAGGTGGAACCACCGTTGTTGGGGAATAAGTTTGTATTCTTGTGGCTCCGTAAGCAGATCAAAGATGCCAGTTTTTAGATCAGCATCGCTTTTAGCCCAAAATAGGGGTACCCCTAGTAGGCCGCCTGAAACCCTAAACCCTAAACCCTAAACCCTAAACCCTAAACCCTAAACCCTAAACCCTAAACCCTAAACCCACAAATTAAGGGAGCCAAGCCAGGGGACAGTGCCTTTCGGGCGGCGGTCGCCATGATGTTGGCGGCTCGGAAGTGCGTCATGTGCAAGTGATCCGACAGGGTGATCACCTCCAGCATGTTTGGGGTTTAGGGTTTAGGGTTTAGGGTTTAGGGTTTAGGGTTTAGGGTTCCATTGCCAACAACTGAAATCTGGCGCTGGCCACGGGACTGTGATCAAGGAGCAGCGCCAGGCGAACTTCCAGTATTGCCTCATCTGCCCAGCAAGTGCGCGGCAAGATCTTGTCAATGGGCCTACACACTGGACGGCCCCTTGCTCCCTTCCTAGACTCCAAAAGCACCAACGGCAATTGCAAGGATGATCTGAATCAAGAAGAATACTGTTATAACAAGTTACTTGAAGGTTCATGGGTACTTTTCAGTAGGGTTAGAAGTCCCCGAAGCAAGTTTATAACCATAGTTGCCCTACTTATAACCCTACTAATGAGCAAGGACCCCCCACCCACCTGGCCCTCCTGCCCCCTTCTGCCTGGCCCAACCCCAGACCTTGCTGGCACCTCCCCGAAACTGTGTCTTGACTCTCGGATCCCACGAACGTCATGAAACTGAATTCGTATTTAGAAGTGAACTGTTGTCTGAGTTTAGGCCTAAACCCTAAAAGGAATAGGTTTGGGTGGCTTTGCCGCCTTGGACGGCGTGGGGTGGGAGAAAAGTGTTAGATGGCCCTCCGCAATCGGGCCAAAGCTGCTCCTCGCACCTCACGAAGCTTTCGAGCTTGTTCCGAAACCTCACCTTCACAGCATCTACGCCCTGTCACAGCAAACCCTAAACGCTAAACCCCAAACCTTAAACCGCTGAACCGAAACCCCCCCTACTTGCCTAAGCCTTGAAGCCCCTGAACCTTAAACCCCCTAAACCTTCAACCCCCTTAAACCCCTGAACCGAAAACCCCCCGACTGTGCCTAAGCCTTAAACCCTCCTAAAACCCCTAAACCCTAAACCCTAAACCCTAAACCCTAAACCCTACTCCCCGGATCTCGTCAAGTCAGAGGCACCAATCCTTGTCTCCACGAGCGATGCGCCGGCCATCAGCCAGCTCCATCATGGCCGGGAAGCCCTCCTTGGTGAAGAAGAGATCGCCCTGGTACTTGCCTCAGAGGAGTTGAGGGTTTAGGGGTTTAGGGTTTAGGGCTAGGGTTTAGGGTTTTGGGGTTTAGGGCTTAGGGTTTAGAGTCACTGGGCACCTTTGTTTTTACCCCCCACCAAAAAACCTATCACACCGAATGGCCCATACTTCAGCGGTTTAGGGTTTAGGGTTTAGGGTTTAGGGTTAGGGTTTAGGGTTTAGGGTTTAGGGTTTAGGGTGTAGGGTTCAGGGTTTAGGGTTCAGGGTTTAGGGTCCTTCAATATAAAGAAGGTAGGGGATTGGGATGTTCCTCTTTACACTACCAGTCCTGAACAGGGATTCTAATCGGAAGTACTCTAATTCCGGCTAAGGACTGCTAGTGTAAGGGGGGAAAATCCCAAGTAGTGGGTCTATATTAAGAGGACCATGTAACTTCCCCTGGGGGTCATTGGTAATCCAAACTCCACCTTTTGTTGCTTGTCGATGGTTGATTCAAGAATCCTTGGCTGTTCCCTTGAGCTGAAAAGCTTATGGATGCGGTGCATGTTTCGTGCTTGATCTTGCTGATCTTGACAAGAGGCTTCCCGAAACCCTAAACCCGAAACCCTGAGCCCTAAGCCCCAAACCCTTCTTGGTTTGGGAACGTAGTAAACCAAACCCTAAACCCTTTGCTGGTGCCGAGGCTCTCAAAACAATCAAAAGCCGCGCAACCCCCGAGCCTCCCCCAAACCCTAAACCCTAAACCCTAAACCCTAAACCCTAAACCCTAAACCCTAAACCCTAAACCCTCCCCTGCTATTTGACTGTCATGGGACTCTACAAGAAGGCGGCTCGGAGTGTGAGAGTAGAGACCGAGGCCTTGAGGCCCCAAAAGGGTGCAGGGTCCCTAAACCCTAAACCTTAAACCCTAAACCCTAAACCCTAAACCCTAAACCCTAAACCCTAAACCCTAGCAAAGGTTAGAGCGTTGGGTTTTCTGGGGCGTAGATGTTGCAGGTTTAGGCTGCAGGCTTCGGGCTTCTCCCCCTCTACGCGGCCTCGTGCGTGGGATGTATACAGACACGCCAGGTTTAGGGGAGCCAGTGTCCATCAGCCAAAGGTGCCGAAGTTCTTTCGCACTTCCAGCGCGTGGAACTTGTTCAGGCGAATAACCTCGGCAGCCATTGCGCGTCGCAGAGCTTGGGGCTCTGCGACACCAGGAATGTAGGGATCACTCCTACTGCGAGGGGCGTCGGGAACGAGGGACCCTACATCGCCCCTGAAAGGGCAAAACGAGCGGGAGGGAAATCGGGAATTCCTAACTCCTTTATTGTCTGCTGGGGCCTGGTAAGCGGAGAGCCAGCAGGGTTGCTGTTAATATCTAAGGTTGGAACCGTGGGCCCTTAGTATGGTCCCCTACCCTTGCTTACAAGGTTTTAAAGGGATCCGAAGTATGGGCCCTTATTGTAGAATATAGAGGATATAAGGGTTGACCTTGTTAAGCCCGAGAAGAAGAAGATGTTTGAAGGGCTCAATGAGGTTTCGTTGTCGCACGACCGCTGACAAGGGCTTAGGGTTGAAAGCAGCCAACTGGAGGTGCACAGGGCGTCCAAGGGTTTAGGTTTTAGGGCTTAGGTTTTAGGGCTTAGGGTTTAGGGTTTAGGGTTTAGGGTTTAGGGTTTAGGGTTTAGGGCAAGAGAACCGGATCGTCGAGCGAACCGTCCTATTAGGGTTTAGGGTTTAGGGCAAGAGAACCGGATCGTCGAGCGAACCGTCCTATCAAGCACACAAGACCGAGGATGACAACGGGGGGGGGGGGGGGGGGGGGGGGGGGTCATGCAACCAACCCAAAGGTCGAATAAGACTCCCCACTACTCCTCAAGGGCCCCTAAGCTTCCCGGTGGGGGGGGGGGGGGGGAGGGGAAACCCTAAACCCTAAACCCTAAACCCTAAACCCTAAACCCTAAACCCTGACAAATAAGGGGGGGAAAGGGGGAAACCTCGCAGGACAAGGCGCAAACGGCAAACTTTCACCGCCGAACTCCACAGGCTTGGCGAGGTGCTCCACCTCACTCTGCCCTAAACCCTAAACCCTAAACCCTAAACCCTAAACCCTAAACCCGATAAACCTAACCCTAAACCCTAAACCCTAAAACTACAGTGGAGTGTGTCCAGTGCAGAGTAGCGGAATTCTCATGAGTCTGGATTGGGATAGGGGTTTCTAGAGTTGATAGGGTCTACAGGCTTCAAAAGGGTCTTGATGGTTTATGGGGGTTTGGGCTCTAGGATTCAGAGTTTAGGGTCGAGTGTTCAGGGTTTGGGGTTTAAGAATTCTGGACGAGCTGCGGCAGAATGGTTAGGTCGTTTTTGTGGGGTCGTGAAGAGCAGAGCCAGTAGAGACTGAACCTCATCCTGAGGTGAAGTTAAAAATAATGCTGTGGCATGCTGATGTGCAATGTTTGTTGGTTACTAATCCGAACCCCCGAAAACCTAGGGTTTAGGGTCGAGAGTCTTGTTTCTGCAGGGACCTCAACATTCTGCTCGGAAGGCGTCTAAGTCCCCCGACCACTCCCCCCGCCACACACGCACACCTTTCAACTCGGCGGGATTCCGGGCGCCTCTTGGTCGTCAGTTCCCGAATTTCAATAGTATTCTAGCTTCTGAACGGTCGCTACCATGATTACTACTTGTGTCGACGATTGCGATTTCTACGATGTCTACTTCCATTATCAAATTTGTAAGTATCCCTAAACCCTAAACCCTAAACCCTAAACCCTAAACCCTAAACCCTAAACCCTAAACCCTAAACCCTAAGCAACATGTAGCCGAAGGGGCCCGGTGGCTGGCAATCAGGCCAAAGGCTATCGTTCTCTCCAGGGCATCGTCCCACCTCTCTCTCTTTAGAGTTTAGGGTTTAGGGTTTAGGGTTTAGGGTTTAGGGTTTAGGGGTTAGAGCATATATAAAGGCTTAGGGTGACACTACTTGGAGGGTCAAGTACCTATAACCCATTTAGGAGTGTGTAGTTATAACCCACTTAGAAGCGCCTGAAGTACCCTAATAGGGTTGTCATTGGATAATACATACAGTTATAACTGGATTACTAAGTACCATGAACCTCGTAGTAGTGTCCCTGCCCTGTCATGCGATACGCACCGGGCCGGCTTTCTAGACCCAAGTAACCCAGGAATACAAACAGGGTACCCGTTTTTGCTTAAATAAGGGCTTCTAAGGGAACCCAAACCCTAGAAAAGAGAATAAGGGCCTACTTCTGTAGCTACTTGGGGGGCCTGAGTGATGTTGGAGTGATGCCCGCGGACCGTTCCCTGTACTGAAGCCTAAACCCTAAACCCTAAACCCTAAACCCCAAACCCTAAACCCCAAACCCAATTCCCAGGTGCAGGGAGAAAGGAAGCTTTGCTTTCGACCAAGACCAAGCTGCTCGTCGTTCTTCCAGTACCTCAAGCTCTAAACCGAAAACTCAGACTGAAGATGTTGGGTTTAGGGTTTAGGGTTTCAGGGTTCAGGGTTCAGGGTTCAGGGTTTGGGGGAAGATGTTGGGTTTAGAGGAACGCGGGCCTCAAGACTTTGTTGCTCCACTCGTGGCAGAGCTGCTACTGTTAAGGGAAGCTTCCACAACGGAGCAGTGCTTGTTCTTCGGGGTGATAGGGCTTTGTGCAAATCCGCTTCATTCAATCTGCAGGATCTCTCCCGCAGTATATGGGCCAATGGAGATTTGCGAAAGGGAGGGCGGGGTACCCTTTCTAGGGGCTCCTAGCATTTTGGCCCAGATGTGCAGACATTGTGCGGAGACACTCTTGAGACCTCCTGAACCCTAAGCCCTAAGCCCTCAACCCTCAACCCTCAACCCTCAACCCTAAACCCTAAACCCTGAACCCTGAACCCTGAACCCTGAACCCTGAACCCAATTCCCAGGTGCATCTGGGCCAAGTTCACCTCCATCTCCGGCCAGTTGGCCTTTCAACCGAGCTCTGATGACTCCTAAACCCCAAACCCTAAACCCTAAACCCTAAACCCTGCACCCTAGAATTTTACATAGCGCCCTAAACCCGAGATCCCTCAACGCCCCCCAAAACCCCAAGTCGTAGGGTTGTATCTCGGCTTTTCGGGTTCTGGGGCTTCAGGGTTTTTCGGGTTTAGGGGTTTGGGGGGGTTTAGGGTTTAGGGGGTTTAGGGTTTAGGGGTTAGGGTTTAGGCGGTAAGAGGCACAAGCCCACAACTCATGCAGTCCTTCCCGTCAAAGGTCTTGTAGCCATTGTAGAAGCTCATCACCCAATCGGTTTTCCGCTCGTGCTTGAACTTGCTGAGGTTCATGACCTATGGTGTCGGAATCAAGGGCAGACCCTCCTCAATGTGGTGTAGGGTTTAGGGGTTAATTAGGGTTTAGGGGTTGAAGGTTAGGGATTAAGGAACTATGGAGGGTGCGTGGAGATTGTGTGCCCCCATGTGGAAGATAGTTGCATGCATGCTTCGTCCAGGAATAATAAAGACTCGCTTTCTTTCAGGAATGGCTCCAGACGTAAGGTACAACAAAGGCTAAAGTAAAATTTTAGTTTTTGTTTGTGCTGGTGGCTTGAGATTTGGGACGGAAGCCTGCACCAGCATTGTAGACGTCATGGGTTTGAAGCCCTGAGCCCTAAACCCTAAACCTCCCTAATGTTGCACTGCCTTTGATATATGGGACCCCCGCAACCCCCCAACCAATTTGGGCCCTTTATAAACGCATGGCGCGGCGACCCCCCCTAACAAATTTTGGGGGGGGCGGGGGGGGACCGAACTCAGGACCTCAAGCCTTTAGGACCTTAAGGCCTGAAGCCTTCCAGCCTTTAAGATTCCTGGAGCGCAGGGCCCTCAGGGCCTCAAGCCTTACTGCGCAAGCCCTTAACCCTAAACACAGACCGTTATTACAAGATCATTCGGAAAAACGACTTGTGATCATCGCGGGTCACGCCAACAAACTCATGCCGTAGAACAAGTTTTCGAAAGTTGTGAGTATGGACCCTGGATACACTAAAAGCCTAAACCCTAAACCCCCTAAACCCCAAACAACGGCCAGGGGTCTATGTCCCAAGTATTGCGATCGTCGCCGTCGAGCCTCTGCCACACAGGATGCCCAGAACTCAGGATCTAGGAGTTTATAGTTTACAGTGGACTATAGGGATTGTTTAGGGCTTAGGGTTTAGGGTTTAGGGTTTAGGGTTTAGGGTTTAGAGTTTATAGTGGTCTATAGGGATTTTTTGGGCTTCTAGGGGCTTGTACGGGTTTATCGTGGTCTATGTGGGGTTGTTGGAGGTTTATCGGAGTTGTAGGTGTTTATACGGGTCTAGAGGGTTATAGAAGGCTGTTAGAGGGTCTGTAGGGGTTTCTGGGGTTTCGTAGGGGTTTAGGGGGCTGTGTACAGGGTTTGTAAGGGTTTGGGGTGTAGGGTAAGCCATCTCCAGACGGATCCTGAAAAACCAAAGTCCTGGCCGGCATTTGAGCTACCCCTAAACCCTAAACCCTAAACCCTAAACCCTAAACCCTAAACCCTAAACCCTAAACCCTAAACCCTAAATACTCAGAAGTATCGGACGAGAGGGCATCCCTTGAGCCAAGAAATCCCAAGCTTACTCTTTTTCCGTTTCTGAACCCTGGAACAAAGGAGTTCGGTAGTCATGACCCACAAAGAAGGTAAACTCGGAGCTCTGTAACCCTAAACCCTAAACCCTAAACCCTAAACCCTAAACAGTAAGCCCAGCGTCATGTCGTCCCAGGGCAGCGAGCGCAAGAATCCGTGGAAGCAGGTCATGCCCGGAAGCATGCCGAAGTCCAGCAGCGGCTGTGGGATGTACCTGGGGTTTAGGGTTTGGGGTTTAGGGTTTAGGGTTAGTTTAGGGTTTAGGGTGAGGGGGTTTTGGTTTTTGGGTTTTGGGGCACATCTTCATCCCTGAAATCCCCCTCCCTTACCTCCCCCCGCCTGCCTGACCGCTCCCCAAAGTTCTGAGGCTTGAACTCCCAAAGTACCCTGCAAATCTCCCCATCATGCGGGTCGTATTCAGGATTATTGAGGGTTTCAGGGTTCTGGGTCTAGGGTCTCGAGATCAGGAAGGAGTTAGTGAACGCCTTCCCCACCCACAGACTTGCAGCCACGAGCACAATCCTTAACCCAAGATCCCAAAGCCCCAAAACCCGGACGCTAAGCCCCTAAACCCGAAGCCCCTAGACCCTAAGCCACGAACACCTAAACCCTAAACCCTAAACCCTGAACCCTAAACCCTAAACCCTAAACCCTAAACCCTAAACCCTAAACCCTAAACCCTAAACCCTAAACCCTGGCAAGGGACCACTCTACAGGCACGAAGTGTGGGTGGTCGATGTCCACGTCTGGCGCGATGACGTTTCCCACGGAGAAGACCTCCGAGCTGCCCTGACCTTGTGGGAACCGAGCCATGGCTTTAGTGGGTTTAGGGTTTAGGGTTTAGGGTTTAGGGTTTAGGGTTTTGGGGTTTAGGGTTTAGGGTGGTTGATTGGGTTCGTTCTTAGGGTAGTTTCAGGGTCCCTTAGCATGGTCCCTTAACAGGGTACCCCTTATATGCCCCTTAGATACCCTACACAAATCAAGGGCTCATGCAGATTCATAGGGCGTGGGAAGGCCTAGAGAGGTGGGGCTTTGTTAGATTTTGTAGGGTTTAGCATTTAGGGTTTAGGGTTTAGGGTTTAGGGTCTATGTAGGGTTTAGGGTTTCGGGCTTGGGGCTTCCCCGTGCACCTACAGTTCTTGACCTCCTGGAAGCATGTGGGATCGGGTCGATCAAGGTAGATGGACAGGGTGTAGGGTTCAGACTCCAGTAATAAGACAAAAAGCCTGCACGGCCCTAATCCCTCGTCGGGACACGTTGATGCAAAATAGGTCGCGACACGTTGAGGGTTGTCAGGGTCTACTAAACTATACAGGCCTTAATAATTCAAAAGGGGTTTTGGGGGTGATATTATCGTATGTTATAAGGGGACCATAAGGGAATACGATTAGTAGTATATATGATTATAAGGGGACCATAAGGGAATACTATTCGTAGTGATTTCGACCCCTATTTTACAGAAGCTTTGAGCCTCGAGACGCTTTGGGACGAAGACTGAGTCGGCGTGGCGCGAGGAGTACATGGGCATGGAGATGAGGTTGATGCCGGCATACAAGCCTCAGAGGTGGCGTTGAAACTAGGGTTTAGGGTTTAGGGCTTGGGGTTTGGGGTTTAGGATTTATAGGGTTTAGAGTTTAGGGTTTAGGGTTTGGGGTTTGGGGTTTGGGGGTTTGGGGTTTGGGGTTTAGGGTTTAGGGTTCCCGCCCCCCCCCCCCCCCCCCAGGGGCAAGTAGGCGTCGCTTCAAAGTTAATTGCCCCCGGCATCGAGCTGCAGTGTCGCATATTCTGCGTGCAGTAACTGAGCACAGACCATAACTTGGATCCCTCCATGAGAATGGCCTAGAACCTTACTTCCCCAATAACCAAGGGAAAAAAGGTTAAACTTCATGAGGTCCTACTTAATAAGGAAACATTTAAACAATGAAGTTCAACTATTGGCTAAGTAAGGAACATGGAAGACAGGTAAGCAAGGATTCTGACTACTCTGTTGAACGGTACATTGGTTGCTCTAAGCACGGCCGGGAGCACAGGGCATAAAGCGGTAATCCTTGGAGGTATGGCTTTAGGGTTTAGGGTTTAGGGTTTAGGGTTTAGGGTTTAGGGTTTAGGGTTTAGGGTTTAGGGCTGAGCAGCCAATCGTGAAGTCATCAGCCCAGTCCACGTGGAAGTCCTCAGCAGTAGATACCTTGCCTGGCTCAGGGCATGAAGTCTCAAGGGTGTCGGGTCTCTGAATGCAGGAGCCCTAAACCCTAAACCCTAAACCCTAAACCCTAAACCCTAAACCCTAAACCCAAACCTAAACCCTGGACCCCAAACCCTAGACCCCGCAGGGTGTAGGCGGCTTGGGGTATGCATTGGGGTGTGCAAGTCTTCTTGCTGCTGAAATGACACGAGCGGCTGTTTTAAACCTTTTCGGAGGGCACCTGGGAGTTTGAGCCTAGATGCGCGTTGCGAAGTCGTATTTCTAGGGGCCCTAAGGCTTACTTCCCCTCTCCAAGCAGTCAGAGGAGCACGAACACATGAACCTCGAGCATTCCCACAAAAATCAAGCAGCCCAAAAACAACCACTTGACCCAACCCCTAAACCCTAAGCCCGAAGCCCTAAACCCTAAGCCTCCATCTTTTTAAGTTGGGACCAGGGTCCCTGCAGCTCTCTCAACTTGCAGGATACGAAGGAACGTGGGAATTCGGTACTCTGTATTCCGCCCTGGTAAGCAAAAGGGTTCAGGGTTCGGGGTTTGGGGTTTAGGGTACGAGGTACCTTATCCCTACACTCTAAAACCTAAACCCTAAACCCTAACCCTAAACCCTAAACCCTAAACCCTAAAACCCTAAAACCCTAAAACCCTAAACCCTAAACCCTAAACCGTCAAAACCTGCAGGCTAATCCTCCGGCCTAGCAGTCGTCCGATGACCCAACCGACGGTGGATTGAGTCTCCACTTCGCGAGCGACCACACGTAGCCTTGGTAGCCCTAAACCCTAAACCCTAAACCCTAAACCCTAAACCCTAAACCCTAAACCCTAAACCCTAAACCCTAAACCCTAAACCCTAAGCTAGAGTTGATGAGGGCTTTGGGGTTCAGGATCTTTTGGGGTGACCACCCGAGGTCCAAGTGAACCATGCAATTGAGGTCACATACCCTATGCTATCGAACCATTTTTTCAGGTTTGTGGACCATAAACTGTTTTAGGGTTCATGTAGTCCCCGCCACAATGCTAGCTTCCAAGTGGGTCCAGGAGGCAGCATCTGCATGACAGCCGGGACGATCGCCGGACACATGTTGTACCTCAGCACCCGGAAAGCCCAACTGAATCGCACGTCTTCGGGTTCCCGCAATCCTAGACTCTAAATCTATAAAGCCTAAATAGAGTCTAGACCCTATAAACCCCCCAGCCCGCGAACCCCGCCCAGACCCCACAACACCCGAAGCAACTAAACTCCCAAAACGCCAAACCTCCCAGCCCCGCAACTATACAACTAAACCCCAAACCCTCTAAACCCTAAACCCTCTAAACCCTCTAAACCCTCTAAACCCTCTAAACCCTCTAAACCCTCTAAACCCTCTAAACCCTGTAAACCCTAAAACACCTTTAAAAAAAACCCTTAAAAACCATTAAACAAAAACACCCTATAAACCTCCCAAACCGGCTGGGCCAAAGCGCTCCTCCTGAAGAGTTTTCGGCCTGCCTCCCTCGCGCGAGACGACCTCTAACTCCTCGGCTGCACGAAGACGTGGGATTGGTGGGGTACCGGGCCTACAGGATGGAGGGTCTATGGGGTTTATGGGTTTTTATGGGCTTTTATGGGTTTTATGTGGGTATATACGGGTGTAGAAGGGTTTATGTAGGCGTGTTTTATATGGGGCTTATGTGAGTTTAGATGGGCTTTGGGGACTAGATGTTAAGGGTTTGTGGTGTCTAGGGTTTCAGCTTCGGGGTGCTTGGGGTTCCTGCTGTGGGACGGGGGGGGGGGTTTCAGGGCTTCGAGGGCTCATGGGCTTTCGCGTTCGGGTGTAAAGTTGAGGGTGCAGGGTTTAGGGCTTCTGACCTCGGAGTTTTAGCTGCCGTGAGAGTCTTCGGGGTGTTCCTTCAGGGGCTTGAGGGTTAACCCTCAACTCTAAACCCGAAACCTCGCTTGGGGTTGAAGCTGACAGTTGGGAGTTTGGGTTTTAGGCTTCAGCGTCTGGGAAGCCCAAGCATAAACCCTAAACCCTAAACCCTAAACCCTAAACCCTAAACCCTAAGCCCTAATCCCCAAACCCTAAACGCTAAACGCTAAACCCTACATGAAGTTCTCAGGGCTTCGGGGGTTCTGGGGCTCCGGATCGACTCTCGCGCTTGAAACCCTTGTGGAGCCTGTCTGAAGCCCAGGCCGAGGGAAGGGGTGTGAGGCACGGATCTTATGAGGCCCTGAAATTTTTGAAGTGCTCGTCTCGAATGTTGCGAACGGGCCTATTGGGTTTCATGGCCCGTTGAGGTGGTTCGGAGATCTTCGTCGGGGCTGCTGGCGGCTTTCCTCCAATCGAGGGCTTCACTTCACCGATAAGGACCGTTGACGTGCCCTGAGCGGCAAAAAGTCCGAGCCGAAAGCCTTCAAACCTACGGAACTCCCCAAGGGTGGGTTTAGGGATTTGGGTTTCGGGCTTAGGGAAAGTTGTACCGAGCATTATGGAGCTATGATTTGCCTATCTGGTGCCCCTGGGTTGCTCTGTGACGTGATTTGATTGGTTGAGGCGAGCCGCGTCTTCGCGGAAGCAGCCAATGTACTGGTCGTGATGGTGCTTCTCGGTGAGGCAGTGTTTCTCCTCGCCGCTCTCGCCAGTGCGTACAAGCGCATATTGCATAACATGACATGAACAACTACACAAGGGGCCTCAATAACTAGAATAGGTAGGTGTTTCCCCTTGTTTTGGAAGGGGGGGGGGTATAGTACAAGCACGGAGGAACCATAAGGGAATACAATGGGTCATTATTCCGACCTGTTGAATCTCAGATTTCATGTTTTTTAGAGAAAACCCTTGTTCCGGAACCGGATTTTGCTTTTGGGCGCAAGTGCTGAGGCTTAAAAAGTCACCGGAACAGGCACGTGGGGTTCTGCAATTGTCTCAGCGACATGCGCGTTGCTTCCTGGCACGATTCTTTGAAGTGCTGCAGCCAAGGCACGCCATGCTGATCTACTATTTGCTTAAGAACCCCAACAGAATATCAGAAAAAAACATCCCTATATTACCCTTAGTAAGGAAGAGCATTTCTATTTTTCCAGGGTTCTTATAAGCAAGTAGGTGATGTTTTTGAAAGGCGGCCTTTTCCGGAACCGAACTTGATTTATATTGGCAGCTTCTTCACTGGCGCACGCGTGTGGACTTCTGGAGTATAATCGCAAACAGCCCGTTATTCTATAGATGATGCTATTTCGAGTGATCTTGCTCCGAACAGAATGAACCCAACAAATGCGAACATAAGGCCCATGTAGAGATCAACGCAATCCACCAAAACATAATCCTGACAATGAAACTTCTCAAGAAAAAGGCTTAAACGCCCTCTTAATCCCTGTTCCCGTAGGAAGAAAAAAGGATCCTTTTGGTTCATATATGAGAAAGCCCATAACCCAAAAAGTAAAAAGGATCCCTAACACTGATCTAGCCCTGGGTCCTTCTTCACGTCGTAGTACGCAACTGCACCCAGCTTGCCATGCCAGCCCCGGGTCTTAATCTTCACCTTCGTAGCCCAGGCACCCACATTCTACTAAGGGCACACTCTTTTTTTTGGCTGGTTACTGTATAAGGGAACCCAGAACCAACAAAAGGTTTAGGGTTTAGGGTTTAGGGTTTAGGGTTTAGGGTTTAGGGTTTAGGGTTTAGGGTTTAGGGTTTAGGGCTACCAAGTCACGAGCCCCTGGATCTTGCCGCTCTCCTGGTGCTGCGAGCCCCATGGGTTCAGGTCCTGCCAGATGCAAGGCGCCATAAACCCTAAACCCTAAACCCTAAACCCTAAACCCTAAACCCTAAACCCTAAACCCTAAACCCTAAACCGTGTCAAGGCGCTACCTTCATCGAAGGGACCGAAGGCCTTATTGGAATGTAGGGGCTACTTAGGTTGATGGGGACAATAAATACATGAGGGTTATATAGGGGAATCGGATGAAGGGTCCCTTCTAGGGGTCGCTCCATAAATCTCGTAACTTCACGGCTCCTTGGCCCTACATAAGCCTCCGGCGAATAACAACTGCAAACCCTACATCCCTATGCTGAAAATCCTATGCGGCCTTCAACATAATCAGGCCCCTTGACTCAATTCAAGCCTGTACTCCCTAAACCCAAAACCCCGAACCCCAAAACCCAAAACCCAAGACCCTAAACGCTAATTAAACCTGGAATCAAGCATGGAGACCCTAAGCCCATAAAGAAGCCCCAAAAGCCCGGAACCCTAGAAAGCGCCCCCAAGCAAACTCATGCCGCTGCGCCTTTCTACTCGCTCAGGCAGAAGCCCTAAGTATAGTGATCGAGGTTTAGGGTTGAGGGTTTAGGGTTTAGGGTAGTTGAGGTTTAGGGTTTGGGATTCAAAGAATTTCGCCGTGGATCCTGCGTCATAGCCGTGCAGACATCGGTGGCCACTTTGACGGACAAGTGGTAACCTGGACCTCAGCAACGAGAGCTGAGGAGAAAAAAGCGCACAACCTACAACAGTAACATTAATGCTGAGTAGGGAATGAGGGAGTGAGGTGCCCAAGAAAATTCCCTTAACGAGTATATAGAAATATATATATATATAAACCTATATATATATATATATAGAGGGCTCTATAATTACCTCATTCTCTACGAAGAGGCAGGGGGATTAGCATAAAGGAGGCCCTGAGGTTCAAAGGACTCCTGGTTTGGGAAACCCTTTGCGGGCCCTCAGGCCATGTGATGAAAGATTGGTAGGGTTTAGGGTTTAGGGTTTAGGGTTTAGGGTTTAGGGTTTAGGGTTTAGGGTTTAGGGTTTAGGGTTTAGGGTTTAGGGTTTAGGGTTTAGGGTTTAGGGTTTAGGGTTTAGGGCTTGGGGCTTGGGGCTTGGGGCTTGGGGCTTGGGGCTCAGGGTGAGCTCAGGGGTTTAAAGGGTTTCAGGCTTGGAAATGTCACCTACAATCCTGGAACAAGCCTCGATGCGCCACCATCATCCAATACTCCAGAATTCATTATGTTGTCATGCTGGTACCACATGTTAAGGAAGACTCCTGAATCACTGAATTCAGGGGTGATAACTCAAAAGTGTCTGGGCACATCTTTGCAACTTCTGCAAACCCTGCACGAGCGGCGCGGAGGGCCCCGGCCAGGGCGAAAGGAACTGCCGGGTCGGGTAGGTCTTGCGGCCATACCCTCCAAAGAATCACCACCGAAGCTGTAACAATGGCTACGATGCGGAAGTACCACTGTCCTTTGGCCGTCCAGCTCTTCTTCAGGAAGAAGAAGGCAAAGATGGCGTGGCTCGGTAAGGCCCAGAGTAGGTTATAGTTGTTTCTGGCATCCACGTGGTCGGTTCCCCACCACATCACCGCCATCACCATGCCAACTGAGCCTAAACTGAAGAACACTAGGAAGTCGAAGAGCGCAGCCACCCGGGGGGCTTTTTGCTGATGCACCGTCAGGAGAGAGGCACTGGCAAAGAGCAGCCACATTAGCTGAGCAGGGGTTAGAAGGGACTGCGTACGGGGACGGTCGCGCCGACTGGGCATGTTCACCGGACGTACTTCCTGCAGCACAATGGGCTTCCAGATCCCGTCCGCTCCCCGATATTGGGCCTTGTCCATCGCCAACTTGGTGTAGTCGGGCAAGAAGGCTACCTCACGCGGGCTAGCAGGCTTGTCGATGCTGCTGCCTAAGACCAAGTCGAGCCCGAACTGCGCGAATGGGACCATGTAGGTGTAGTCATGCAACAAGCTGCGAATGGTACGTGCCTCACCAGCCAGGTCTTCATCCGAGAATTCAATCCGATCTCCCAAGATCTCTTCGAAAATACCCAGCAAGCGCGTCGCGCAGTTGTTGTAGAAGTAGTGGTAGGGGTAGTAGGAGTTCTCTGGCTTGACGTTGTTCTCAAGATACTTGTACAAGGCCTCATGGCCCATGTACCCATATAGTAGATATTTGGGCCCTAAAGCTAGTATATGGGAACCCCTTTTGAGGCCCAAGTGTGTACTATATAGGTACATGGGCCCCTAGGGTTTAGGGTTTAGGGTTTAGGGTTTAGGGTTTAGGGTTTAGGGGCCTGCACATCGGCAGAGTCCAGATCCAGCACGCTCTGCTTCACCCACCGTTGCTGCTGAGCATGCCGCCGGGCAAACCAGTCGAAAGGACAGGCAAGCACCTTACTTCTCCAATAACCAAGTGAACAAAGGTTAAACTTTAATTATTATTCCTACTAAATAAGAAAACCCAAAAAGCTGAAAGTTCAACTATCGGCTAAGTAAGGCACTTGGTATTTGAGCAATCCCTTTGTGAAGTCCCTGTAGAAGGTAGAAGATCTATCGAAAACGCCATAGTCGTATGCGCGGTCCACGCTCGTCACGGGATCGTACACTCGCAGGCCACTATGCCCGAATGCGGCCGAGAGCTTGGTCCACTGGTCTACTGTGAGGAGTGAGACCTGCGCTTGTGAGGAGAGGGTGATGGGCAGATCTTGTGCCATAGCCGGCATAGCCGCGGACACGCTGGCCCACACTGAGGGGATCCATGGCTTGCTCATAAACATGCATGCGCTGCTATTCTTAAGCACAGGCTCTCGACAAAGCATCACTCTGCAAGTCTAGGGGCTTAGGGTTTAGGGTTTAGGGTTTAGGGTCAGTAGCAGGATAGATGCTATGACCCAATCTCAGCCGGCGTGGCTTGGTAAACCCACAAGGTTGCGCCAGAAACACTTCGGGAAAGACATCTATTTCAAGATAAAGCCCTGTTTGACCCCGATGAGGGAAGATACAGGGGCTTCCGACATTCGAGAACATGAAACTTTTCAATATATCAGGATTGGCCTTTACACCCTCTGGAAGAAGAACAAATACATGAATGAATAAATAAACAAATATAAACATACACACACACACATATATGTATATAGTGGGTCCCTCATAAGCCCAAATAAGGAATATGCGAAATATCCCGAAAGCCAACCTAGAAAAAGTAGTAGCTCACCGAGCATGTAGCGCCATATTGGGTCCCACAAGGTTTAGGGTTTCTCGTCACTGCTCAGACCGAGTTCAGGCCAATGGTGTGGCGAGGAAATAATTAGCCATGAATCGTACGAACCCTAAACCCTGAACCCTAAACCCTAAACCCTGAACCCTAAACCCCAAACCCCAAACCACAGCTACGGCCGAGACAGCCTGGACATCCTTAATGCCGCTTAACCTGCAGAAACCTAAACCCTAAACCCTAAACCCTGAACCCTGAACCCCAAAACCCAAAACCCAAAACCCTAAACCACAGCTACGGCCGACATGGCCTAGACGTCCTTAATGCCGCTTAACCTGCAGATGAACATCCCGAAGCCCTCGCGCGCTAGCCAGGGAGGCTTACGTCGGTGCCTGGGGTTTTCGGGTTTAGGGTTGTAGGGTTTTTGAGCTATGTGGTTGTAGGGTTTAGATGGTTGTAGGGTCGTAGGGTTCAGGGTTTTAGGGTTAGGGTTGTAGGGTTTTTGAGCTATAGAGTTGTAGGGTTTAGAGGGTTGTAACTAGGGTTTAGACTTGGAGAATTGCATGCCGCATACGTGAACCCTGAAGCACGAAGCCCCAAATCCTTCACCCCCTTGAAAGCCCCATAGACCAGCCCTCAACGCACTAAAAGGCCGCCAAAGGGGCAGAAGCGTGGGGCACCGGTATAGTTTCCTGGACTTGTGCTGGGAGGTTTGAGGTTTGAGGCTTTGGGACGTTTAGGTCTGTTCTCCGGGGGGGGGGGGGGGGGTGACGCTTCAAACGCCCAAACGCCTTGAGGTGAAGAAATGCCAGCTGCACCCATGGTTTTTGCACTGTCATCCGTTCTCCACCCTGGGATCTAAAATCCTTTACCATATGTGCTTTAAAGTACTTGGTAGCCCAGGAACCACAGTACAAGGCGTTCTTTTGGGGTTGGCTGCTTTATAAGGGAGCCCATCACCAAGAAAAGGGTAAAGGGCGCCATGTGGCTCCCAGGAGTAAGAAATGGGTACTTCCCGATTATAGGCGTACTCGTACCCCATTTTGACCTTAAATAGAATCGAAATCCCCCTTAAAGGACCCCCAAAAAGGGCACCCCTATGGGATTTTACAAAAAACAATCGTCCCAAAATGTAGCTCCTAAATAGTAGGATTCCCCTTTCACAACACGGTACTCCCTATTTTCGGAAACCTCCTAAACCCTAAACCCTAAACCCTAAACCCTAAACCCTAAAGGGCAAGCAAGTCTCTGGCCATGACGTGCTTCAACTTGCCATTCCAAGTCCTGAGAAACTGCAGATTCAGAGCTTAAGGTTCATGGGATCCCTAAACCCTAAACCCTAAACCCTAAACCCTAAACCCTAAACCCTGAACCCTGAACCCTGAACCCTAAACCCTAAACCCTAAACCCTAAACCCTAAACCCTTGGGGCCTCAGTGATTCAAGGATCTTGGGACGTCGGGATGTTGGGCAATCCTTTTGGGGTTCAGGGCTCTGGGCATCCTCAGCCCTCCCCAAAACCCTCCAAAGAATTCCCTAGCCCAGACCATGGTCCTGTCCCTAAACCCTAAACCCTAAACCCTAAACCCTGTAAGGTCGTGCCCTTGGGTTTGGGGGGGGGGGGGGGGGGGGGGGGGGAACCTTTTTTTCAACAGATCCTCTCAGGGAAATGTGAGGGCCATGTTGGGAGCATAGTAGGGGCACCTCTTGGGGGGGTACATTCCTTAGGGGTGCGCGTCTTCATCCCTCGAGTTAGGGCCCTGAACCTTAAACCCTAAACACCCTAGAAACCCTTCGAAAAAACCAAAAAAACCCTAAAAAACCTGTAAAAAAGCCTTTAAAACCCTAAAATCCCTAAAAATCCTTAAAAACCTAAACCCCTAAAGCCCTAGCAGGCGCGAAGAGCTTTTGTCCGGCCTCCAGCTGGGGGCTGAAGTTGCTTAGTTGTCCAGTACCTAGGGGTTTTAAAGGTTAACCTTTGGGATTTTAAGGGGAATACATAAACCCAAAAAGGTTAAAGGTTACCTACTCTACTACTAAGGAAGAGAGCAACGGGGCGGTCAACTTGACTGTCCGTAGTACGGAAGGCTTTAGGGTTTAGGGTAAAGGGTTTGGGGATTGGGGTTAGGGGTTTAGGGTTTAGGGTTTGGGGTTCAGGGTTTGGGGTTTAGGGCTCAGGGTTTCGAGGTTTCGGGTTTTGAGGTTTAGGGCTAGCCTAACCAGCGCATCCCAGCAGCAGCATCTCTCCCATGTTGGCGCGCTCGGGGTCAAAAGTGTCTGGCTCTGTGAAGACCTGACAAGCAAAGCTGACCCTAAACCCTAAACCCTAAACCCTAAACCCTAAACCCTAAACCCTAAACCCTAAACCCTGAACCCTGAACCCTGAACCCTGAACCCCAAACCCTAAGTACTAAACCCTAAACCCCAAACCCTAAAACTAAACTCAACCCACACTAAAAGACAACAAGTGCAAGGAGGTTTTGCTCAAGTCAGGCACTTTAAGCTGATGGTCCTACCTGCAGAGGCAGTCCTTGTTGATGTCTGCAAGGGGGGATGGGGGCGGGGGGCTCAAGGGTTCAGGGTTTGGGGTTTACGGCTTAGCGTATAAGCCTTGACAGTGCAGACATGTCTTCCTGGACATTTAAACCTCTCACCATTCACCTTCATAAGCATAACTCCAAATCCTGAAGCCCAGAACACGCGGTTGCAAGACAAGCCTCAACTATCTGAACCCTGAAAACAAACTGAAAGCCTTCGCCCCTAAAACCGTAAACCCTACAAACCCTGCAAGCCCAACAAAAACCCTATCAACACAAATACCCTCAAATTTCCCGAAAATCAGAAACCCCTAAAACCCTAAAGCTCGAAAAACCCGAAACCCCTAAAAACCCCTAAAGCCCTCAAAACCCGAAGCCCCGAAAACCCCGAAAGCCCTAACAACCCGAAACCCCTAAACCCCCTAAAGCCCTAAAAAGCCCTTAGTGAAAAAGGGCTTGGGTCTCCCACCCTATAAACCCTAAACCCTAAACCCTGAACCCTGAACCCTAAACCCTAAACCCTAAACTCCCCCCAGGCCTTGGGGTCACGGTTGGCGGTTGTCAAGACCATAGTCACGGCCTGGTCCGCCTTGAAAGGCACCTGCAACAAGCTTAGGGTTTAGGGTTTAGGGTTTAGGGTTTAGGGTTTAGGGTTTAGGGTTTAGGGTTTAGGGTTTAGGGTTAGGGTTTAGGGTTTCAACGGGCATGCCTGAACAAGAAAGTCCTGAACCCCAAAATCACTAGAAGCCCGATAACCCCGAAATCCAATCAAAATCCTCAACTCGAAACCCCTGGACAAGAAAGTCTGGGGAGCAGAAGCACAATCCACACACTACGCCTTGCTCTCCATAAAACCGAACGGGTGCTTCCCAGAATAGGGGGTGCCCTCAGATACTACAGGGGCCTTAATAGTTAGAATAGGGTTTTGGGGGGCTATTATCGTACAACTATAAAGGGACCCTAAGAGAATACTATTAGAAATTTTTGCCGACTCCTAAAGTACCCCTCCCAAAACCCTAAACCCAAAACCCAAAACCCTAAACCCTAAACCCTAAACCCTAAATAGGGTTCTGGGGCACCTTGTGCCCCTCAAGTACCCAGGTGTCCGCTTTGCCGGCAGTGGTCGTGAACCTGACATGCGCAATCCCGGTATGGCGCTTCTACCAAGTGGAAAGCAACTTTCTTTGAGGCCTTAAAGCCTCCACCCAGCACTGCATAGGGTTTAGGGTTTAGGGTTTAGGGTTTAGGGTTTAGGGTTTAGCGTTTAGGGTTTAGGGTTTAGGGTTTAGGGTTTAGTGTAAGCAGGGTTGGTCCGCGTGAGGGTTCCAGATTATAGCCTCGGCCGGCCCATTTCGGGCCATCGAGTTGGGAGGACTTATCGGGCCAGCCTGCAGCGAGGGCCTCAATTCCTAAACCCTAAACCCTAAACCCTAAACCCTGAACCCCCCTAAAAGGCCAGGGAGCTGCGTCACCGCCCCGTCGGTTCGCATGAGCTCGTGCAGATACGCGCTCGGATTCTTGCGGAACATCATCACGTGTTGAGAGTCCTGACGATTCGGGTTTAGGGTTTAGGGTTTAGGGTTTAGGGTTTAGGGTTTAGGGTTTAGGGTTTAGGGTTTAGGGTTTAGGGTTTAGGGTTTAGGGTTTAGGGTTTAGGGTTTAGGGTTTAGGGTTTAGGCTTTAGGGTTGAGGGTTTAGGGTTTAGGGTTTAGGGTTTAGGGTTTACCGTTTAGGGCTTAGGGCTTAGGGTTGACGATTCGGGCTGAGGGGTTGTCGGGCACCAGCACTCATCCGTGCAACTTCCTGGTGGACGCAGATGGGCTCCTAAACTCGGTCACACGATGCTCCTCAAGGCCTTTGGGGTTTAGGGTTTAGGGTTTAGGGGTTTAGGGTTTTAGGGTTTAGGGTTTAGGGTTTAGGGTTTAGGGTTTAGGGTTTAGGGTTTAGGGTTTAGGGTTTAGGGTTTAGGGTTTAGGGTTTAGGGTTTAGGGTTAGGTTTAGGGTTTAGGGTTTAGGGTTTAGGGTTTAGGGTTTAGGGTTTAGGGTTTAGGGTTTAGGGTTTAGGGTTTAGGGTTTAGGGTTTAGGGTTTAGGGTTTAGGGTTTAGGGTTTAGGGTTTAGGGTTTAGGGTTAAACCCCAAACCGAAGAGAGGTGTGTGTGTGTGTGTGTTCACGCCAGAGGTGCAAGTGCCTTGAACTGGCTCTGCACACATTTGGTGGCCATGTCCGTCGTCCCAAGCAGGCCAGCAAACAACCTCAATCTCTAAGGCCTATTCAACGGTTTAGGGTTTAGGGTTTAGGGTTTAGGGTTTAGGGTTTATGGTTTAGGATCTTTCAGAAGCAGTTGGTGTTCATTCAGGGCCTGTAAGGGGACAACCTTCGTACTTGTTTTGGGCACCTGTCCCTCGGAAAGGAGGACTGTGTGCAGTGCGTGCATCATGGCTTCTATACTGAACTTGGAGCCCTAGCAAAAATTGTAACTTTAGCTGCTGCTTAGGAATTAAAGTACCAAAAGATTAACGTATTTCCAAGTATCCCTAAGGCTTCGGGGTTGGAAGGGGGGAATCGCTGAATCACAAAGTCTACTCTTCGGATTGCGGCGAGCATGGGTGTGAAATGCTTTCAAGTGTAGGGATTCTGGGGTGTATAGGGTTTAGGAGTTCAGGTTTCCCTAAACCCTAACCCCTACACCCTAAATCCTTAACCCTAAGCCCTACACCCAAGCCACAAACCCTAAGCCTTAACCCTAAACCCTAAACCCTAAACCCTAAAGACAACGTGCTTCCGCAAGCTGCTGCAGCCCGACACCCTTCGAAACTTCTTGCCATGGCTCGACGCGTCGATGACCCCACGGAGGAGCACATCTTCCAAGGATCCAGGATAAGATGTCAAGAGCTTCCTTTTAGGGGGTTGGGGTTTAGGGTTTAGGGTTTAGGGTTTAGGGTTTGGGGTTTGGGGTTTGGGGTTTGGGGTTTGGGGTTTGGGGTTTGGGGTTTAGGGTTTGGGGTTTGGGGTTCTTCCTTTTATGGCGTAACCATATTTATTATAAGGGCGATATAGGGATTATGATATTTTTAAAGGGGAGTCTTCAGCAAATTGTAATTATAGGGTTCGTAAGGGCGGGGGGTTCATGGGGTGGGTACCTAGAGAACCTAGGGAAGCTTAGGGAGTCTTGGGGAGTAGTCGGGAGTATCAGGGAGTATATGGATTACATACCCCCCCTTTGAATCCCCCTCCCTTAAGAACTCTATCATTCTTGCACGGCTGCGGAAACTTGGGGAACGTAGCTCCCATCCCAAGCCCTGGTGCTCGAAAAACCCTACATTCTGATGCCCCAAGCTCTGAAGTCACCTAAACCCCGAAAAACCCTAAAACCCCGAAACCTCCTAAATCCTCCGAAACCTTCCTGAACTTCCTAAACCCCTCAAACTGCAAACACGTAACTCCGAAGGATGGAGGGACGTTACCCCAGGTTCATCGACCTCATCCCTTTTGCAACGGAAGCCGACTTAAGTGCATCACCGCAACAGGGTTATAAATAAATATTAATACATACATACATATATATATATATATTCATATTTATATTATGCACATATATGTACATGTATGCGTACTATGCGTACATTATGAGGATCCTTAGCAATTATGGCAGCGTAGCTCTAGGCTCCGTAGCAGGCTACCAACATCTCTGAGCAGTACACTCATCAGGCCCAAACCCTAAACGGCGCCACACCCTAGATTCAAAAACCTAAACCTTAACCTCTAAACCCTGAACCCCTAAACCTATAGACAACCCTAAACCCTGAACCCTAAACCCTAAACCCTACCCCCAAACCCTAAACCCTAAACCCGCTGAAACACTGCAGATCTCAACTTCCAGCCCTTCCCGGAGACAGGGCACTTCAGCGCAGCGAACTTCGGCGTTTCGATCAGCTTCCTGAGTCCAAGAATCTAGAACCCTAAACCCTAAGCCCTAAATAATTACCCTAAACCCTGAACCCTAAACCCTAAATCCTAAACCCTAAACCCTAAACCCTATAAAACCCGAACCCCTCAAACCCTCAAACCCTCAAAGGTGTGGGGGGGGGGGGGGGGGGGGGGGGGAGGAGGATCTTAGGCTTAGGGTTCCGGCATCCGAGAGAGATGAACTGACATCCTGGACTCCCTAAACCGTACACTGGAAACCCTGCCCTCTACAGGGTTTAGGGTTTATAGGGTTGAGAGTCCAGGGTTTATGGGGTTTAGGGTTTAGGGTTTAGGGTTATTACGATGTTCTTGAAGTACTGATTATATGGTGCTGCTTGTAAGATGAGAACAACCTCCAATCCCCGAACCGTTGAAGGGATATACGTTGACAACGACAACCTTGTATCTCCCGGCCGTTTTTTCGCACCAAGTCCTCTACCCTAAACCGCTACCCTAAGGACCCTAAACCCTAAAAACCCTAAATCCTAAAAACCCTAAACCCTCACCTCAAAACCCTAAACCCGAAAAAACGCTAAAGCCTCCAAACCCCAAAACACCTTAAGATCTGCATGCCAAGCATCATCAGCTTCTCCGCAGTCGGGGAGCTCCGTGCAAAATCGATGGCCACCTTGCAGGGACAAAGTTGGGACGAGCCCCCTTTTAAGCCCTGAACCCTAAACCCTAAGCCCGAAACCCTAAACCCTAAACTCTAAGCCCGAAACCCTAAACCCTAAACCCAAATCGGTACCATCAAAGCCCGAAGCCCCCTGAACCCCCGAAAGCGGTGAGAGCTGGCTCTGACACCAGCGCTCCAAGAACCCTGGCTTGCGCAAACGATCGAGAAAGAGAAGCCAAGGATGTCCTACTTCTACAGCAGAGGGTTTAGGGTTTAGGGTTTAGGGTTTAGGGTTTAACCCCAAACCCCAAACCCTGAAGTTTACAGCAGACCCTAAGGGTCCATCTACCTATAGAGTACATACTTGGGCCTCAAAGGGGTTACTATATAGTAGCTTTAGGACCCAAATATGTACGATTATATGGGCACATACCCTAAACCCCAAACCCTAAACCTTAACCCCTAAACCCTACACTCTAAACCCTAAACCCTAAACCCCCAACCTTCTGGGCAGCTTTGACGACCCAGGTCTGCACGATGCCCGAGTGCTTTCCTTGCGATCCGGGCTTCGCACGTTCGGAGGGATAAGGGTTAGGGCTTAGGGTTTAGGGTTTAGGGTTGAGGGTTGCCCCCTCAACCCGCCCTCCAATTGTAGCTGCAGTTCCTTGTATCTGGCGGTATGTCAGAATCATCTGAGTATGATCCCACACGACCCCCTCCCCTCAAGAAAAAACTGCAATTGCAGGGTCTGGCTCTGGGTAGGAGCCCCGACGACTCGACCACGCAATATAACTAGGGGCCTCCACAATTAGAATAGGGTTTTTTTTGGGGGTTATTATAGTGTAGTTACAAAGGGACCACAAGGGAATATTATTTAATTTTTCCGACCCCTCTAGTAGGCGACTTTCAGAAAAGCAGAGCCGCAAAGCCACTGACAAATTTCGGATCAATTCCTGTAGCACCTTCAACTCTTCAACTTCAACGGTCGAAGGAATATGTCTATACTCCCCTTAGAACCTTGAACACAAATGTCTTCTAATATTCCCTTGGGATTTCCAGAAATAAGAAAAGACAACAACTATAAAGGCGCTGTAGATGTTGGGTTTAGAAGCCGCCAGCGCATGTCGAAGCCCGAACTGCTCTGTAGGGCTCTGCGGGGGGGAGACATCAGAGTCAGTTTCTGCATTTCCAGGGTCGAGCTAAAACCCTAAACCCTAGCCCTAAACCCTAAACCCTGACCCCTTAACCCTAAACCCTAGAAAGGGTTCAGGGTTCATTTATACCTGCACCCGAAACCCACACTCCGCCCCATATTTCACGATTTGCTTCAGAACCAAAAAAACCACAAATAGTTATCCCTTTTCAGGGCAATATAAGGACTATCATTATATATTTTGTGACGTTCTTAAGCAAATAGTAGTTATAGGGTTCTTAAGGGAAGGGCTACTTAGGCAACCTTAGGGAAGCCCAAAGGAGCCTTACAAAGGGCGTATCAGGGAACCCTGGGTTACACACCCCTTATTGATTTTAGGGTTTAGGGTTTTGGGTTCAGGGTTTAGGGTGATCTGACACCCAAAAGCCGAAGTCGCAAGCCCTAGGCCCCAAACCTCGACCCCGGGCTGCTGGGCACAATCTCGAACCCGAACCCTGCCAACAAAGCTAGACTACTATTTGCCTCAACCCCCCCCCCAAAAAAAAAAAAAACAACCAACGTATTCTCCCCTATAAGGGCAATATGGGGATCGTGAATTATTATTATTATTAGAAATTATTATTATTGTTGTTATGATTATTATTCTGAGTATTGTTACAACCAACGGATTCTCCCTTACAAGGGCAATATGGGGATCATTAAATCATTATTGTTATTTTCTTAATTCCATCATTTGTGTTTTTGTTATGCTTATTGCGATGATTATGCTTTTGTGTTTCTTTTTTGTTTTGCTTTTTTGGGGGTGGGGGGGGGGGGGTGGGGATCTTAAGCAAATCGTAGTGAAGGTTCCGCGAAGGCCCATGATGCACCCCTTGCCGAACTCCAGGTATGGCAAGACCTCCAGCACCTCTGTGGAAGACATCCTGGGCTTTTGGGTTTAGGGTGTAGTAAGGGTTTAGGGTTTAGGGGTTAGGGGTTAGGGGTTAGGGGTTAGGGGTTAGGGGTTAGGGGTTAGGGTTTAGGGTTTAGGGCTTAGGGCTCAGGGTTTAAGATTTACGGTTTAGGGGGCTTAGGGAGGACATCCTGGGCCAAGAGTGGGGGCCGGGGGGGGGGGGGGGGACCAACTCCTAAACCCTGAACCCTTCTAACACTGCTCCTCAGGCACATGGGTCGGGCTTGGGGGTTTGGGTACATGACCGTGCGACTCCAGCAAGGAGGAGTCTGCAGACCCTAAACTCGCAAGTCATCGGGTTGAAGCGCGGGGCCGCCTGTATCCCAGGCCGTAGGTTTAGGTTTAGGGCCCTAAACCCTAAACCCTAAACCCTAAACCCTAAAAGGTTTAGGGTTTAGGGCCAGTTTAGGGGCTTTATGAACGTGATGAACCTGCATCGGGCGGTGATGTTTCCAGGGTTCAAATGGTTCCTACCACAACTCGATTGGTTGAAAGCTGTGGGTTGAGAAGCCAAGGGACTTTTTTCTCCAGATGCCCTCGAACACGAGCGGTAGTGCAATCCTGGCGGATTCCGGGATCAGGGTTCAGGGTTTAGGGTCTAAGGTGATGGAACCCCCAAAAGGGACCACTCATCTTTTTGAAGCTACCGGTGTCCTCGATCGTCCCCTAAGGCACAGCTAGTTCACATAGCTGCTTTGTTCCCTCAGGGTTTAGGGTTTAGGGTTTAGGGTTCATACAATTAGTTCGCTCAGTAAGTTCACCTCATCTGTTGTATTCACGTCGCTCACTTCGAATTGTTATTCACACACCCATGAAAAGACATCTTTGGGGTGTGAATATGCTGTACGTTGCGATATTAAGGGTGCGCTATTCATTGCCCCTTAGAACATTATAACTCACTTTGTATGCCCAACCTTGAGCTCTTGGTCAAACACCCTACTTAACTGATGGATTTCATGCGCAACAACCGTTTATGAATTCAACCTTAATTTGTAGGGGCTATCAGGATGGTCAATGAACCGCTCTCTAGTTCAATACAGAAAAGTGACTAGTGAGGGTCCCTTGTGCTGGGTCATCCTGCGATTCGTTCACACAATTCACGCGTCCTCAGCTTCATTTCGTCGTTGTACTTGTGTTCTCTTCACCCTACACCCTACAGCACACCACACCCAAAGCCATGAACCCCTAAACCATATACCCTAAGGCTCACCCCCAATCCCCACACCCTACGCACTACACCCAAAACCCCAAACCCTAAAACCCAAACCCTAAAGCCCGTAAAACCCGCAAAACCCGTAGAACCCCTAAAACCCCCTCAAACCCCCCAAAAAACATCCCAAACCCCCTAAAACCCCTACAACCCCCGAGAACCCCTAAAACCCAAACCCTAAACCCTAAACCCTAAACCCTAAACCCCCAGAGGCAGGCCCCAGGCTCTTTCCAACTTCCAGCTCCGTCGGCGAGGGCAGAATGCTTCGGAGGCCGACCAGCTTTCGAATCCTGGGGATACCCGGCTCCGCCACATTAAGGGATAGAAGGGAATAAGCCCCATACAACTGCATACTCTATATATATATATGTATATATATGTATAGGTATATATATATATATGTGTATATGTATATGCCTTACATCGTCTCTATATGCCTAAGTAGCCCCTGCATTGCCCCTACAGTAAGGTCCCTTTTAAGGGTCCCTCCGTCATAAAGGGATAGAAGGGACCCTTAATCCTATTCCCCTATATGAGCCCCCTATAACCGCATATTCGATATACATACTCTACATAGTCTCTATACGCCTAAGTAGCCCCTACATTACCCCTAAGGTCCCTTTTAAGGGTCCCTCCGTTAGTCCCTAGACCCCAACCTTTGCACGACTGGTGCCCCTATCTGCTTTCAAGCAAATTTCGGGGGTCTCGGGTTTAGGGTTTAGGGTTTAGGGTTTAGGGAAGTTTCACGCTGCGGCCCCTACAACCCTAAACCCTAAACCCTAAACCCTAAACCCTAAACCCTAAACCCTAAACCCTAAACCCTAAACCCTAAACCCTAAACCCTAAACCCTAAACCCTAACCCTGGTCTTCTTGAGGTTCGCGTCTTTTCTGTCCACGCCGACTCCAGGAGCGACGCTGCGGAGGTGAGGGGCTGCTGGTGCATGTCCTCGCGCATATACTCGGAGGTTCATGGTACTTCTGAAGGAGGGTTTAGGGTTTAGGGTTTAGGGTTTGGGGTTTAGGGTTTAGGGTTTAGGGTTTAGGGTTATACTTACAACTGTACTTATGACCATATTAGGGCACATAAGGGGCAAATAAGTGGGTTATAAGTACAGTTACAATTGAGTTAGAATTGGTTAATTCATACAAGGAGGGACCCCTAGAAGGGACCCTTCATCTTATTCCCCAATATAACCTCTACATATACCTTATATCGTCCCTATATCCCCAAATAGCCCCTAAATAACCCCTAAACCCTAAACCCTAATTAAACCCTAACCCTAAACCCTAAACCCTAAACCTTAAATAGCCTCCAAGCTCCCTTGTAAGAGTCCCTCCTTTCGTTCCTTGAGAGGCGTGGGGGTGCGTGACGCGCAGCCCTAAACCCTAACGCCTCCCCTCCCCAAACCCCAAACCATAAACCCGAACTTGAAGCAACCTGTAGGGTCTTGGGGGGTCGTTTCGGGGTAGCTGAGCTCCTGGAAGCCGGCTTCGTCCAGAAGCATGCGCCACTGCGTGTGCTCTGGCCTGTGGAGTTGAGGGGTTTGGGGTTTAGGGTTTAGGGTTATGGGGTGTATGATTTAGGGTTTAGGGTTTTAGGGTTTATGTCTTAGGGTTTTAGGGTTTAGGGTTAGAGGGTTGGAGGGTTTAGGGTTTGGGGTTCAGGGTTCATGGGTGGGAGGAGGAGGGTTGTAGTTTATGTCGTAAGGTTTATACGGTTTTTGGACCAGTGTAAAAGCTTGTAGGGATTGTGGGGCTTATATAGGGATTCGGGTTTAGGGTTGAAGGTTTAGCTCACCAGACACTTGGGTTGAGTGTTTAGATTTTGGCGTTTAGCGAGCTGAACGTTTGAATCAGGGTTAACCCTAAACCTTGAACCCTAACCCCAAACCCCAAATCCCATTAAACCCTAAACCCTAAACCCTAAACCCTAGACCCTAAACCCTAAACCCTAAACCCCTAAACCCTAAACCCTAAACCCTAAACCCTAAACCTAAACCCTAAACCCCGCATATTCCACCCTGGGGCCCCCGGCGAGCCCGAAGACTGAAAGAGAGGAAGTGTCGGGTGGTGACAGTCCTGCACAAGCTCAAGGGTTTAGGGTTTAAGGTTTAGGCTTTCGGGTTTAGGGTTTAGAGATTAGGGGTTAGGGTTCAGGGTTTAGGATTAAGAGTTTAGAGCTCAGGGTTTAAGGGCACGAACATCTCGAAGACAAAGTTCAAGAAGCTGCAACCTCCATACTCTGCATCGAACTCTGCAGCGCAAGCACGGTAGCAGGAGCCTCCCCCTTCATTCCTCTAGCACATCCCTCCATGGACCTTCAAAACCTTAAGGCCATGACTTGCCAAATCGAACGACCCCCCTAAACCCAGAGGCCAAAGGCCCCAAACCCTTCAAGCCCTGAGCCCCCGAATTGTTTTTTTTAGGGTATAGGGTTTACGGCTTAGGGTTCAGAGTGTTGGGGTCTATTGAATCGGATGGAATGCTGGGAAAATCACGTGATACAGGGCTGATGACAGGAAGGAAAATGCTGGTAATTCTTCAGCATCCTGCGTGCAAAGCCTTATAAACCCTAAACCCTAAACCCTAAACCCTAAACCCGGCTCCTCAGCAGCGGGGGTGCCCAACATGGCATAGATTCGCGGCCTGGAGGCTTTTAGGGTTTAGGGTTTGGAGGTGGCTCAGGGTTCAGGGCTTCACTACAAGCTCCCCTCCTCCCCAAACCCTCCATATCCTCTTCCATATCCTGTTCCTACCCCCTCCTCCTACCCCTCCTCCTCCCCCCCTCCCCTCCCAAAACAAAGACGCCTTTGGTCCGAATGATGTGGTGTAAGCTGAACTGTAAGGTTCACATGTCTGGCGCTTTGTGCTAGATTGACAGTGGGGAGATTCGGGTGTCGTCTTTTGGCCGCGAATTTTGGGGTGTAGCATGGGGGGTGGGGGTATTTGGCCTAGGCTTTGGCGGGCTTTCGGGGTGTCAGCCCGCCAGGGACATCATATCCCCACTCTCAGTCGAGGGTCCTTATGGGAGGAGGTTCATGGGGGGTAGGCACCTAGCTTAGGGAAGCTAGAAGAGAGCCTTGAGTCGTGTGCAGTATCAGGCAGCATTTGGGTTACAGAACCCCCCTTGAACCTCCCGAAAACCAAACCCTACACCCTAAACCCTAAACCCTAAACCCTAAACCCTAAACCCTAAACCCTAAACCCTAAACCCTCCCTTAAGGACCCCATAATCAGAAAAACCAGCTCCAAGTCGCCCCAGCCCCGGAGGTCCCTGCCGAAACGAGCCCCACCCCCTGAACCCTCAACGCCGAGACCGTTTTAGCATGCTAAATCGTGAAACCTTACAAATAGAAACCATACAAATCGTATACATCATATTAACCTTAAAAAAATTATATACATAATAATAATAATAAATAAAAATAATAATAACAATAATAATAATATGTAAACCGAACCGAAAGCTAGAGGGCTCACTTGCCAGGATGCTGGTTGGGATCCGCCTGAGCGTTGGCGACATCCTGCGAGGCCCATGACTGCACGCCTAAGGGTCTAAGGGAGGGTTTAGGATTTAGGGTTTAGGGTTTTTAGGGTTTAGGGTTTAGGTTTAGGGTTTAGGGTTTTAGGGTTTGGGGTTTGGGGTTTAGGGTTTAGGGTTCAGGGTTTAGGCTTTGGGGTTTAGGGTTTAGGGGCGTCTAAGGGAGGGTAGGCTTTGAGCCCAAAACCTGTTCTTTGTTGCACGCCCGTGCTCCGAAACCCCTTCTTAAAGCCTTTGGTTGGGTTTTAGGGTTTAGGGTTTAGGGTTTAGGGTTTTAGGGTTTAGGGTTTAGGCTTCATGCAATATGGGGGGGGGGAGCAATAATTGAATAGGGCTTTTTGAGGGGGGGGGGGGGGGGGGTGGCTTAAGATCAAAAAATAAAGGGACCATTTTGGGAATACTCTCAGCAATTACTCCGATCCGTATATTATAGGAGCCTGAATAATTAGAATAAGGCTGGGGGGCTATCATAGTTCAATTACAAAGGGACCAGAAGGGAATATCACTAGCAAACAGTATTTCGACACGAAGATTAGGACCTAGCACAAATATTTCGAACCTGAACCCTAAACCCTAACCCTATACTAAGTGCTTAAGGTGTGTTTTTAGGCTCTTGGCCTTATAGGGGCTAGGGAGACTGTTTGCACTTAAAGTCGCAATCTTCTGAACTGATTTTGAAGACCTGGGCACTTGAAGGATGAGAGGGGCAAGGGACATGGGGTCTGGACTCAGGCCCAGGCTTGCGGGGGGGGGGGGGGGGGCTTAAACCCCCCTAAACCCTAAACCCTAATGTTGGACCTGCTTCAATAATCTTTACCCCCCCCCCCCCCCCCAAACAATCGAGGACCCTGAAATAAAAAAACAAAAACCAAACAGTCAGGCGGGGAAGGGGTCAGGAGATTGAGTGTTGTGTTTGGAGATCCTGGAAAGGTCGAAGCTTCAGGCTTCAAGTATCTCTCCTTCTCGAGAAAGCGCATGCCTTCCTGAAAACCGAAGGGCTGAGCCCCGGGCCCCGGAAGATTTGTATCATAGCGGGCCCGCAAACAAAGGTATTAAACTATGTCCGGAGGCCTCCGTAAGCTACCCCCTTTCCAGATATGATTCGCCCATGGAATCATCTAGGTTTTAAGGAAGGAATTTTATGAAGAAAACGCGCCCTGAAAAAAAACATCGGAGACCCTGGAAAGGTCGAGGCTTCAGGCTTCAGGTATCTCCCCTTCTCGAGAAAGCTTGTGCCCTGCCCGAAAACTGTTCATTGGTTAAGTGTACCCCCAAAACAAAGGCCAAAATCCTGAATAGCCGAAAAAAGTTCGTAATGGCGTGCCCCCAGAATATTGTGGGTGCAACCCTAAACCCTAAACCCGAAACCCCAAACCTAAACCCTAAACCCTAAACCCTAAACTCTAAACCCTAAACCCTAAACCCTAAACCCTAAACCAACTACAACAACTCCACGGGAACCAGTGGCCCGCTCCGCCCTCCGACTCGCGCGAGCCTCGTAGTGAAATCTCATTGGTGAGTCGATGAAGGGAACCGGCTCCCCGCCTCAGTCCGAGCCCTTGAGCCATGGATCCCAGGGCCTAAGCCCTAAGCCCTAAACCCCAAACCCTTCTAGGGACCCTAAACCCTAAACCCTTCATAAACCCCAAAACCTTCTTAAACCCTAAACCCTAAACCCCTTATAAGGCCTAAACCCTAAACCTTAAATCCTGACACCTTCGGGAGGAGAAGAGGGCAGACGAAACTGAGCTACATGTGCTTCCAGGAGTTACACAGTTCGGGGTATTCATGCTAGGGTTTAGGGTTTAGGGTTTAGGTTTTAGGGTTTAGGGTTTAGGGTTTAGGGTTTAGGGTTTAAACCTTTAGGGTCTTAAGGGAATGAAGCAAAGACAAGTCGCAGTTCAGCAGGGTGCACATCAGGAAGGCAGTGGTACGATTGCTGCCAAACCATGGCAGGAATGTCGCCTGAGTTGCAGGGATGTATGCATGTACATGTGTAATAAACTGTAGCGTAAGGTAACACAACGTACTGTATAAGGTACATGGTAGGTGTGTATGTACGTGTGCATGCATGCTTGTCTCTGTGTGCATGTGCATGAGTGTGCATGCATGTGTATGCATGTGCATGCATGTATATGTATGCCTATGCATGTGTATGAGTACATGCATATGCTGCATATGTATATCTGTATCTATACCCATATGTATATGTTTATGTACATGTACATGTATATGTACATGCACATGTACATGTATGTATCTACACATATGGCGATACCACATTCATGTGACGAAACTCTGAATCACAGCATGCAATATCAGAACACAGCTACTTGGAAGCTCGCTACAGGAATGCATGTCTTGCTGCTGAGGCTGAGGGTACAGCCTGCAGGGATCTATCGCGCGCCAGGCGCCAGCTCAGGCATTCGGGTTTCGGGTTTCGGTTTCGGGTTTCGGGTGTCGGGTTTAGGGTTTAACGGCTCAAAATAGCAGAAGATTAAATCAATTCTTCAAGCTGGCGCTGCTGGGACTCCGAACTTGAACGCCTAGCCCGAGCCGGATTAGGGTTCGCCCTACACCCTCAATCTTGAACCCCGACTCATGCTGTGAGGTTTGGGGGAGGGGTTAAGGGTCCAGGGTACCCTGGAAACCTTAAACCTGGTTAAGAATTTCGGGATCGGGGTGACTTTACCTGGTGCAGCCTTCCACGAAGCTCAAACTCCCCCGGGGCCTGGCCCCAACGGTGCCGAAGCCCACAACTGGAAGGGTGCGTACAGCCTAAACCCCGAAGGTTTAGGGTTTAGGGTTTAAGGTTTAGGGTTTAGGGTTTAGGGTTTAGGGTTTAGTCAGCCCCCTCAGAGCTCCCTGAAGCAAGGAGAGGAGCGATCGAGGCTGCATGGACAGTGGAGTCGTACAGCCTTAGTTGTCCAGTACCTAGGGGTTTTAAAGGTTAACCTTTGGGCTTTTAAGGGGAATTATATTAACCCAAAAAGGTTAACCTTTGGGCTTTTAAGAGGAATTATATTAACCCAAAAAGGTTAAAGGTTACCCACTCTACTACTAAGCAACGACTCCTTGTCGCTCCATGGCGCGCTCTGGGACCACAGCTTGGCACGATGGGACAACTCCTCCACCGGGGGGGGGGGGGGGGTTATAGGGTTTAGGGTTTAGGGTTAGAGGGTTTAGGGTTTGGGGTTTAGGGTTTAGGGTTTAGGGTTTAGTGTCGAATATAGGCTAGGAAACTAATCGTCGGCTTTGACAACCCCAAACCCTGTAGGGGTGGAGGTGTTGCACCTCGACCACTCTAAGAGGGTGTTTGGGCACATTCCTGGCTTGCAGCCCCATGCCCCTAAACCCTAAACCCTAAACCCTAAACCCTAAACCCTAAACCCTAAACCCTAAACCCTAAACCCTAAACCCTAAACCCTAAACCCTAAACCCTAAACCCTAAACCCAAATGCTGCTTGGCGATTTGTGCAGGATCGATCAGGGCAGCTGGTAGAACGGGACCGTGATCTAGCTGTAACCCTCAACCCTGGATGTTTTCAGGGTTTAGGGTTTAGGGTTTAGGGTTTACCCCTAAACCCCAAACTGCCATATCCAGGATGCAGAGCTCCCTCCTGTCGGGTTTCGGGTTGCTTCTGTAGGGTTGGAGCATGGTGGCTCAAAGCTGCCAAGCCCTAATAAACCCTAAGCCCCAAGCCCTAAGCCCTAAACCCTAAACCCTAGGCCCTAAACCCGCGTTCCCAGGGCTTCGTCCTTCTGAATGAGGCGAAGGAACTGCCTGGCACTCGGGCCGGTTTGGGGTTTAGGGTTTAGGGTTTAGGGTTTAGGGTTTAGGGTTTAGGGCTTAGGGTTTAGGGTATAGGGTTTAGGGTTTAGGCTCAGCATGGTTAGGGTTGACGCTTCAGGGAGATATCGAGCTCAAGACCTGCCTTCTTGTTGGTAGGTTCTTGCTCTGAGAGGGGTGAACACCCTAGCCCCAAACAGATTAACCTTTTAAACATAGTAGGGTTCTATACAACCAAAAAAAGGTTCAAGGTTACCTACCCAGCCCCTAGGTGCCCTAGAGCCCGCTTAGAGGCCGAAAACTAGGCTTAGGGTTCTTCGTTGCGGGGGGTTTAGGGTTTAGGGTTATGGGTTTAGGGCAGGGTTTAGGGTTTAGGGTTTAGGGTTTAGGGTTTAGGATTTAGGGTTTAGGGTTTAGGGTTTAGGGTTTAGGGGGGGGGGGGGGGGGTCCCCTCTAGCCACTACGGCGGTTTTGGTGGCAACGCTTGGCGGCGGGGGGTTTAGGGTTTAGGGTTTAGGGTTTAGGGTTTAGGGGGGGGGGGGGGCAAACATGCAACTAAGCAGCACACCTGTGCTAGGTAGCCCCAGAGTCAACACAGCACAGCACAAGTCCCCGATTTTCTGCTGGCTAACGCCAGGCTTGCGAGCTTAGCAACTGAGGTCTGCATCGAAAAGGGAACTCCCGAAACACCCTCCCCGTCTTACGGCTGAGGGCGTAGGAAGCACTGCATGGATTCAGGGTGTGAAGGCACCAGCTACAGCCCTTCTTTAGGGGTTAAGGGACAATAAACCCTAAACCCTAGACCGTAAACCCTACAAAGAGGGGCTTGCATAATCAACCCTAAGCCCAAGACCCTAAACCCTACAAAGGGTTCCCCCTTCCCCTCCCCCTTTCCCGGACCTTACCTCGAGGCAGCACCGACCAGTCCACTTCCCTCGAAGTCATTCGCCTTTGCTTGGGGACGCCTAGGCCTGGGGTTTAGGGTTTAGGGTTATAGGGTTTAGGGTTTAGGGTCTAGGGTTTAGGGTGTAGGGTTTAGGGTAAAGCGACCAAGTCCTGACATCTGCAAATCGAAAAGCCCTCTATGCCCCGCGCCCCCCCACCCCCTCCCCCAACGCCGCCCGCCACTACGGGGTTGTAGGGTTTGGGGTTTCGGGTTTAGGGTTTCGTGGGCGGGCTAGCCGGGATGCCCTGTTCAGGGATTCCTACTTGTGCAAGCTAGTAAGGATCATAAAGTTTGGAGGTTCTTGTAGCGGCACACCGATTTTGAGAAACTAGGTGAGAACTTGGCTCGAGTAATTTGCAACCTTGAACTCCAAACCCTAAACCCTCAACCCTCAACCCTCAACCCTAAACCCTAAACCCTAAACGCTAAACCCTAAACCCTAAACCCTAAACCCTAAACCCTAAACCCTAAACCCTAAACCTAAACTCTACAACCCCTAAAACCATGCCCCCAATGCCTGAAAGCGCACTTAAGCTGACCTTTGGGGTTTACTCAGCGTTTTAGTCGAAATTCTGCGGGCCTTGGGCGGTGGGTCTTGGGAGACTCAAGAGCCTGCACCTCGAAAGCTATGAAAACCCTAAATCCCATAAAACCCTAAACCCTAAACCCTAAACCCTAAACCCTAAACCCTAAACCCTATGAGCACGACACCGTGGGATGCTCCCCCCTTCTACTAACAGTCCTAAATAGGGAGGTATGGTACCCCCCCCCCCCCACCCCAAATATGATCCCTAGTAAGGGCTGTTAGTATAAGGGGAACATCCCAACCGACACCCTAACCCGAAACTCTAAACCCTAAACCCTAAACCCCAAACACATAAACCCCATAAACCCTACCGTGAAAGCCAACCCTAAACCCTGAACCCTAAACCCTGAACCCTAAACCCTAAACCCTAAACCCGAAACTCTAAGCCCTAAGCCCTAAACCCTACACCCTACACCTAAACCCTACATCGCCCTAGACCCTAAACCCTAAACCCATCTTGGAGCCACCAGAGACGAGACAAAGTGCCCGTGCCAGGCGATCGCTGGTGCCACGGTAGGTGGGGCAACCACCCACCTTCAGGAGCTTTTGGGGGTAAGGGTATTAGGGTTTAGGGTTTAGGGTTTAGGGTTGAGGGTTTAGGGTTTAGGGTTTAGGATTTAGGGTTAGGGTTTAGGGTTTAGGGTTTAGGGTTTCATTTCAGCTACGCTTGCACAACCAAAAGCAGGGACTTGCGGGACTGCGCTCAGCAGGGGTTCCGGGCGTAAAGTTTAGAAGGGCTTCCAGCGTGATAAGCTGGGTTCCCGAACCTGCTTCCGAGGATCCGACCCCGGAAAAGGGTTTAGGGTTTAGGGTTCAGGGTTCAGGGTCCAGGGTTTACGGTTTAGGGTTTCGGGTTTAGGGTGTAGGGTTTCGGGTTTAGGGTTTAATTAGGGTTCAGGGCTAGGGTTTGGGGGTTGTTGGAGCACCAACACTTCACCAAATCATGAACCCACAACCCTGCACCCTAAGCCCGACCCGGAGCCCAATTGCACTGGGTGCCCAGAATGTGCCTAACGCACAACTACCATCAGCAAGCAGAGGTCCCCCGCATAACCCTAAACCCTAAACCCTAAACCCTAAACCCTAAACCCTAAACCCTAGACCCTAGACCCTAAACCCTAAACCCTAAACCCTCAACTACAGTTTTCTTGGGGAGCGTAATCTTTGAAATCGCATCAACTGCAGCCTCGCGCTTCTTCACGATGATGGCCTCACTGCAGTTTGACATGGCGCAGGGGATAAGGGGAATAGGGTTTAGGGTTTAGGGTTTCGGTTTAGGGTATCTGGTGCAGGTCTAGCTGAGGTGGGCTCGGGCTCGGTGATCACATCTGGGTACAAACCGGTCTCTACCGCTGTGGCCTAGAAGGGGTCAAGATAGTGGCTGTACCCTAAACCCTAAACCCTAAACCCTAAACCCTAAACCCTAACCCTAAACCCTAAACCCTAAACCCTAAACCCGAAACCCTAAACCCTAAACCCTAAGCCCTAAACCCTAAACCCTAAGCCCTAAACCCTAAACCCTAAACCCTAAACCCTACTCTCCTTATTCGCGTGCCTGCAGCTGCTCCTCCTCTGTGCCCCGAACCGACGCCAGTTCGGGAAGCTCCTGCTGCCGGCCACACTTTAGGGTTTAGGGTTCAGGGTTTAGGGTTTAGGGTTTAGGGTTTAAGGTTTAGGGTTTTAGGGTTTAGGGTTCACAAGCTGAACTTCAGGTCTTCGGCAGGTGGGTTCGGTGTCAGGGGCTTTATATACAAGGGGCACCTTCCATCTCATGGCGAAGCAGACGCGCAGTTGCCCAGACAGGAAACACAAAAAAACCTAATCCCAGAGAGCCTGAAGCCATCTGAAAAACACAAAAACACCAGCTCCAAAGCTGGATTCTTTGCATTTCTGGAGAAATGCCAACACTCCAACACTTGAAGCGCAGAACTGTTCTGTGCTGTCCTCCGCCAAGCTCACACGGATGCATCCTCACGCAGTCTACGCAAACTTTCTCGGCTTCTGAAGTGGACTAAGGGCCATGTAGGGAATGAAGAACTGGGGGAAGGGGCGGGGGGCAGGAGCTGGTACGCTTTAAGGAACTCAAGAAACCGAATTTGCGAAGCTCTTAGAATCTTACCAAGGATCAACAACATGGGGAGAAGTCCAAGTAGCTGTGTGAACAATCTCTGTTTCCGCTTGTAAGCACGTCTATTTTTCGCTGTCGTATGGAGTAGGCGATATACTCTGGTTTAGGGTAGGGGCTTTAGGGTATCCAAGGCATCTCTCTCTCAATCTCTTCTCTGTCTATTGTTGTTATTATTGTTATTATTATCTTTTCTCTTTTTTAGTTTTCGTGTTTTTTTTTTGGGGGGGGGGACAGGGGGACACCTCTAATCCCCTCTTGAACATCCAAAGCCGCAGTCAAACCCGCAAGTGACCGATCATCAACGACCCCCCCCCCCCCCCTGTCCTTCTACAGGCGTGCCGGTCTCAATCGGGGTGTTCCAGGTGACGTCAAGAAGCGGCATGCGGGTGCTGAGCTTGATATCCTTTCTTCGACTGCAACATGGAAGTAGTCTTGGGATGTTCCCCCTTCTACTAACAGTCCTTAATCGGGATTATAGTACCCCCCAACTATAATCCCTATTCAGGACTGTTAGTATAAGGGGAACCTCGCAACAGGAGCGTTTAGATGGTGGCAAGATGGTTGAGGAACTCAATGCTTACAGCGGCTACTTCAACTGCAAACATGAAGTTCGGCCCAAGGGTTCGAGGTTTCAAGGGGCTTCTAGTGGGCATTTCTATGTATTTCCAAAAAAGAAGGGTACCCTCCCTCCCCCCCATAAAACAAAAACCATAACAAAAATTGATGAAGTTCAAGCCACCCACACCGGGATATCCCTAATCCCTATTTGAGGAAACACCCCTCCACCCCCCCCGCCCCCCCTACCCCGGGCCATGAGTGACCAGTTGGCCCCCCTTCCCCCCGGCCAAGCCCAGGCCACAATTTAAATCCCACAAACTGTCGTCCGCCTTCCACACATCGCACATTCACATCGCAGTCAGTACTTGTAAGCACTAAAGCATCACTTCGGTGTTTAGTGAGTAACATGGTTTCCTTGCTAGGGTGTCTCAACTTACGTTTCAAAAAACAAGAAGCCCTTTCTTCAAGAACCCGAGCGAGGGCAGTTTGGTGGACCTTTGCACAGATCCATTAGCCCGAAGCCCTACACCCTAAGCAAAGTAACCTTGGTGAAGGCCGGATTGAGGGCTTGGGGTACAGGAAACCCCCCCCAAGCCCCGACTCCTGCACCCCTTACCACTTTCACTCTTAAACCCTTCTGGTGTGGTCCATCACAAACTGTGCAGACTGCTCCAAATCCGAACCGTCTTAGTGCCAAAAGAGCCTTTAAGCACAAGAGCCTCAAAACCAAACCCTGAAACGTTCAATCCCTGCAACCCCGCAATCCTAGACGCTAGTCCCCTTCAACCCGCAACGCCTCAACCCTCTAAGACCAACAAACAAACCTCAAATCCTAAATCCCGAACCCCAAGCCCGGTAACTTAGCTTTGGAGTAGACCCTGGAACAAAGTATATACTTTTTAGGTAATAAGTAGCAGTAATAGGAACCCAGAACCAAAAAAAGTATTAAAGTATAGTACTCCAAAGCCCAGGTAAGATACACCCTAAACCGAAAACTGACACCAGACCCAAGAGTAACCTAGGAAAAAACAGGGTGCCCTTTTTGTTGTGGCGTATAAGAGGGAGTCAAGGGCGGCCTACTCTGGGTCCTAGTACACCTTTAAAGCCCTAGACCCTAAACTACTATTTGCTGGAGAACCCCCCCCCCCCAAACATACGAAAGAGAATAATTCCTATGTTGCCCTTATAAGTATCTTCTATTTTTCGGGCTGGTAAACCTTGAAGCCATGGGGCTGAAGTGGCGCAAATCTCCCAGCTATGATGCAACGCTGCGCCGGGAGGCCTATACCAGCCCACACCGTGACTCAGCTTGAGGATTGAGGCTCGTTCTTGGGTAGGGTGTAGGTTTTAGGGTTTAGGGTTTTAGGGTTTAGGGTTTAGGGTTTAGGGTTGTTGGACCGCGGGGCTGTTGGGCTCGTAGTTGGGGCCAATGGAGGTTCCGGTTCTGGGGTTTATAGGGCTCAGGGATTATGGGGTGAGGATTGGGCTCCTGCAGGCTTGGGGCTACGAAGGTTTAGGGTTTAGGGTTTAGGGTTTAGGGTTTAGGGTTTAGGGTTTAGGGTTTAGGGTTTAGGGTTTAGGGTTTGGGGCTATTAAGGCTTTGCAGGTGTCTAGGTTTAGGGATTAGCAAACCCTGCACGCCGAAATCTTGTCTGGTGTCAGGCGGTGTGCGATCTGAATGCCAGAGAAGGGGCTGGGAGCATGAACACCTACGGCGAAATGCTGCAACCGCATGGAGGGCCTGGATGAGCACTGAAACCCCACCCTCATGAACAACAATCCCTATCAGTCCCAGAAGGCGCTACACCTGCAAACCGATAATCCCTATCCCTGAACCCCAGGCAAGTAGACAAACCCCAAAGCCCCCAAACATTAAACCTCTAACCCGTCAAGCCTGAACCCTCAACCCTGAACCCCCGAAACCCTAACACCCTTGAGCCTTTTCAACATCCCTAGACCCTAGAGACCCTTTCCCCCATGCAGCCAAGGAGCCCAGCGAAGCGCTCTCCACCGCAGCTATGAGACTCCTAAACGGGTTTTGGGTTTGGGGCGGTTTAAAGTTGTAGGGTTTATTGGGGGGGTGAGCCTCACGCGCTTTCTTCCATTGCTCAGTGCTCGTCTCGGCACAGACCTATGTCCTAGCAGCGTGACCTCAAGAAGAACACGTCAACCTCGATTTATGCACCGGCCCGGTCAGATTCGCCGAAGTTCTAGGCTTAGCGTTTAGGGTCATGGTCTAGAGTTTAGGGTTCAGAGTTAAGAGTTTTGGGGTTTGGGGTTTAGGGTCATGCTCTAAGAGTTTAGGGTTCAGAGGGCTTAGAAGGCACTGGGCAATACAAAGCCTTGAGGGTTTCCGGGTCTAAAGCGCAGCGAATACCCTAAACCCTAAACCCTAAACCCTAAACCCTAAACCCTAAACTCTAAACCCGAAACCCTAAACCCTAAACCCTAAGCTTGGGAACCTGAAGTCCGGTGAAGGCTATTGGCTCCTCGATACGATACTCGCCGCCCTCGCACGCCAGGGAGTACGCTGCATGGCAACCCTGAGCGTGGAGGTTTTGGCTTCAAAGAGAGGGTTTAGGGTTTAGGGTTTAGGGTTTAGGGTTTAGGGTTTAGGGTTTAGGGTTTAGGGTTAGGGTTTAGGGTTAGGAGCCTTGGGGTTTCGATTGCGGCCAGGTGGCATAATGATCCGAAACCCCTAAACCTAAACCCAAGACCCTAAACCGCTGAACCCCAAACCCGAAGCCCTAAACCCTAAACCCCAACCGCTAAACCCTAAACCCCAACCCCTAAACCTTAAACCCTAAACCCTAAACCCTAAACCCTAACCCCTAACCCCTAACCCCTAAACCCTAAACCCAACCTCTTTGCCGGGGCCAAGGCTTGGAGAAGTCCTGAGGAGGCTTTCCGGAAATGTCCGGCGCGGTCGTGCGACAAGGCGGCTTAGGGCTTCAGGGCTTCGAGCGTCGGACTCCTAAAGCCCCCTAAACCCTAAACCCTAAACCCTAAACCCTAAACCCTAAACCCTAAACCCTAAAAGACCTAAAGCAGCACGAACTGCCAGAGCCAAATGTATATCTCCCATGACGCCATCCCACTACACCACCTGGAGGCCATCATTCAAGCACCCTAAACCACTACTAAACTTACTAGACCTTGGGATGTTTCCCGCTTATACTAAGAGTCCTGAGTACGGATAGTATGTACCCCCTATGCTAATCCCTATTAAGGACTGATAGTATATGGGGAACATCCCAAGCCATACAACCCTAAACCCTAAACCCTAAACCCCAAACCCACTTCCCCAGGTGGCGGCCTTAACAGCGATCTGCGCGAAAGGCTGTCCAAGTGGGTCCTCGACGTGGAGGAGGCCTCGCCAGCCAAGCTCAGGGATGGGTTTAGGGTTTAGGGTTTAGGGTTTAGGGTTTAGGGTTTAGGGTTTAGGGTTTAGGGTTTAGGGTTTAGGGTTTAGGGTTTAGGGTTTGGGGTTTGGGGTTTGGGGTTTAGGGTTTAGGGTTTCGGGTTTAGGGTTTTAGGGTTTAGCGTTTAGGGTTTAGGCAGGTCAGACATGGCGAAACTTGGAGGTAGCCAGCCCTCACAACCAAAAGCCTCATTCAAGCACCAAAAGCCTCACCGAGGTAATTTAGTGGCTGTCAAAATTGTGGTCCCTTTTTGGATCCCTCTCATAATACGGCACCAATGATTTAGGGTACCCAAAAAGCGACCATGATTTTGACAAGCACCCATCTAGGGGCCTGAATAATTATGAATAGGGGGGGGGTGATTCTAGTATACTTCGATGGGGGCCATAAGGGTATGGCCTTAACAATCAGAATCGGGTTCTGGGGGTTCTTTTCGTATAAAGGGGGCCTATGAGGGAAAAATGCTTCGAAAAATCTTCCGACCCCTATAGTACGCCTTCAGCGTGCTCCGAGAGGTACCTTTTCTTCGACGGAGGGCACGTCGCACCCAGTCCCCAGCCCTAAACCCCCGAAACCTAAACCCTAAACCCTAAACCCTATAAACCCGAAACCCTAAACCCTAAACCTTAAACCCTAAACCCTAGCCCCGACTGAACCCCTATGAAAGGCCCAAGAGTCTCCCACGGAGTTGAAACCGATCAGCCAAGACCCTCGCTCCCTAGCACCTTACCCTAAACCCCAAACCCTAAAACCTAAACCCTACCCTCGTGTAAACCGACGCACCTAGCTGTGGCTGCCGGACCATCTCGAAGAATACCCCGCCCGAGCAATTGCCGTGCCCTGGCAGAGGCAGTTTCTGCAATCGGTTCAGGGTTTAGGGGTTAGGGTTTAGGGTTTTGGCTTCTTTCGGGCTCAGGGTGGAGGAGCATGTGTTCAACCCGAATTTGGGACTTGGCAGTGTGAGCCTGGTGTTTAGGGTTTAGGGTTCAGGGTTTAAGGTTTAGGGTTTCTCTGCATTCTTGGGATGTACCCCAATACTAACGGTCCTTAGTAGGGATTAGAGCCTAATCCGCATCATAGAAAGACTTGTTCGCACAAGGGGGAGCATCCCAACTGCATTCCTCCTAAACCCTAAACCCTAAACCCTAAACCCTAAACCCTAAACCCTAAACCCCAGGGCAGCTCCTCGGAGCCCCTCCCTGCTGAGCCTGAGTCCCCAAATCTTTGGGAAACCGGAGGAATCCCGACAACTAAGCCCACAAGTTTAGGGTTTAGGGTTTAGGGTTTAGGGTTTAGGGTTTAGGGTTTAGGGTTTAGGGATAGGGTTTCAAACTTTCGGGTGTATAGAGTTTATAGGGGTCGTAAGGTAATATAGGGTGTCTAGGCCCTTCAGCAGGTTTGTAGCGTCTAGACTTTGGGTGTTTCAAGCCCTAAACCCTAAACCCTAAACCCTAAACCCTAAACCCTAAACCCTAAACCCTAAACCCTAAACCCTAAACCCTAAACCCTAAACCCTAAACCCAGAGGCCTAAACCCTAAACCCAAGGACCGCCTCCCGTGGACACGGAGTGCGACGCGCAGGGGCCCTTTGAGAAGTGCACGATATGCTTCCTGAGCCCGATGCCGACCCTAAACCCTGTAAGCCTTTTAGGGTTTAGGGTTTAGGGTTTAGGGTTTAGGGTTTAGGGTTTAGGGTTTAGGTTTTAGGGTTTAGGGTTTAGGGTTTAGGAATAAAGAGGGTGCCTTTTGTGGTTTAAAAGGGTCAACCCTGAAGAAGGGGAATAAGGGCCTACTCTGGGTCCAAGCCTAGAAACCCTACAGGGTTTAGGGTTTAGGGTTTAGGGTGTAAAGTTTAGGGTCCATACACACTCAACCCTACTTCCTCAGAGCCTTGAACCCTAGAACTTCAACCCTTCGGCCTTCAATCCTACACCGTGAGCCCCTTAAACCCTTACAGTTACACCCACACGTCCTAGAGACTGAATTGGAGTCTAAACCCTCAGCCGCCATAATAAGGGGATCATTATGGCGCAAAGTACGAGTGCCGGTGCAGGTACTACTTGGAGGGTCAGGGTACTTATAACCTAATGAGAAGTGTAGTGATAACCCCCTTGGAAGCCCCGAAAGTACCCTAATTGGGTTATATAGAATTGGGATAGAAGTGCATTTGTAATTGGGTTACGAAGTACCATGAACCTCCAAGCAGCAGTGCTTTGCCGACCGCAGAAACATACAAGTGCGGTAGCCAGTTAGCTATAGTTTCTTCGTCATGGTAGCACAGTGCATGAGCCGTTGTCGTAGCCACAGGGGAAAGCAAGCCAGAGGATTGTTGAGTGTCGTCTCCTTTACAGTGCCCATACTGGCAAAACCAAGAGCATCTGAACTGAAGCACATGGACACCAGAATGCTTGGGTGCCTGTGTTGATACGGGGAGCAAAAGGAGCCGTATTGAAGCGCATAGTCGAGTTGAAGTGAAGTACGGGGAGATGGTTAAAAAGAGATGAGAAGTAATACTTGGAGGTTCATGGTACTTATGAACCAGTTCTAACTGTACATATAACCATATGTAGGGCACTTAAGGGGTTTATAAGTGGGTTAGAAGTACAGTTATGCTGGGTTCAAGAGTACCATGAACCTTCAAGTAGAAGGCTTCGTACGAAAAATGCGTTTGCGGGCACACCGATGTCAAGCCATGGCTGTGTGTAACTCATGGGCCGGGGTTGAGTGTCTTAGGGTAGCTACATGGTCCCCTTACAAGGGGCTCCCCTTTCAACAAGGCAGGGACCAGATCTAACCACCACCTGACTACCCTAAGAGAATGAAGAGGTTCAGGGCTCAGGGCACTAGGACCCTAAACCCTAAACCCTAAACCCTACACCCTAAACCCTAAACCCTAAACCCTAAACCCTGTTCAGGCAGGTTTCTCCCCAATCTTCCTCGGGAGCAGCTTCATCATCATCTGCCTGAGGCATGCTGGAATCTTCACTCTGAGGGTAGTTTCATGGTCCCTTAATATGAGCCCTTAAACGGGGACCCCGAAATTATACCCTGGGTATCCTATGCAAGCTAAGGGCCCGTACATCAGAACCATTTAAGGGAGGTAAGGGGCCATACTACGGGCCCATGCAAACTACCCGAAGAGACAGAAACCCTTCACCCCCCCCTAGGACGATGACTTCTGCTTGCACGCCAGGCCCCTCCATCCTGCACTCACTCTGACACTCTGCCCTCCAGAAAACAAGTGCTCTGCCTAAACCCAAAACCCTACACCTTCAGCCCTGAAGCCTTCTTGAGGGTTTAGGGTTTAGGGTTTAAGGTACTTAGGGTTTAGGGTTTAGGGTTTAGCGTTTAGCGTTTAGGCTTTCTGGAAACCCTCTCAATGGGCACAGCTGCTCATTCTCGGTGATCACGTTCAGATCCGCATCGAGGATCTTCCAGGCTTCGTACTCGTTCGTCAGCACCTACTCGGGCAACGAAACCCGAAACCCTAAACCCCAAACCCGAAACCGCGTAATCTTTGAAATCCTATCAACTGCATGCTGACTTGCCCCGAGTCAGTGCCCCCACAACCACTCTGCTGGTTGAGGACGACTCTACACACACACACACACCCTAAACCCTAAACCCCTAAACCCTAAACCCTAAACCCTAAACCCTAAACCCTAAATCCTAAACCCTAAACCCTAAACCCTGAACCAGAACTGGTAGGATGGTGCACAGGCACTTGTGGCTTTGTGAGGTTCAGGGCTTCATATCTGAAACGCCTGGGGGCTTGCAAAACAAATGCACATCAGCAGCCTCGATAGCATAAACTATGCAAAAGAACTGGTTTAGGGTTTAGGGTTTAGGGTTTAGGGTTTGGGGTTTGGGGTTTAGGGTTTCGGGTTTAGGGCCTTTAAATCTACATACACACATGTGCATGTGACATGCATATAGACCAGTACATGCGTATGATATTGTGGTATTGAGTTGCAGATATGTTTGCAGGCTTGCTATCCCTAAACCCTAAACCCTAATCCTAAACCCTAAACGGTTTTTTGGATGCTGCGCAAAATCCCGCAGCCGGCGCGGAGCCGTCGATAGAAACCCACACCCACGCTCCCACCAGCTCCAAGCGTCCCTAAACCCTAAACCCTAAACCTTAAACCCTAAACCCTAAACCCTAATCCCTAAACCCTTCAAGGGATTAGCGTGTTTTGGGGTTTCAGGGCCCCTAGAAACCCCAAGAATTCTGCGACCCGAAGGGTGAGAGGATGGCCTTGTAGTCGGCCAGGCCGAAGTAGGATGGGCGAGCCCAGCGGCTTCCTGGGCGGGTTTAGGGTTTAGGGTTTAGGGTTTAGGGTTTAGGGCTTTGGGGGCACGGGTTTGGGGTTTAGGGTATTCGTGTTTACTTGGGGCTCGACCACCAATCGCCAGCAAAACCTGACGAGCATTCTGCCATCGCACCCTGAAACAAATATCAGAGGCGACGATAGCCTAATATTGGGGCCTTAAGAATGACACATATAGTAACCATCAAACAACAGACTGGCCTAAGGATATACATACGAATAGACCGGTTCGATAAGAGATGAGATATGATCATGTGCTGGTAAGGACATCAAGATGTGATCGCAAAACTTGTAACGATATACACAGTTTCTATTGAAAAACTAACATGTGATGTGCATGTAAACCCTAATCATGAAAACGATAGAATAATGCCATATAATTTTGCAGTAGCAAAAAGAATTAACTACTACAACAACAGAAAAGCACAGAGCAAAGTCACATTGTGGTAAGTACCCAACACCGGAAACAGAGGAATTCAATCCACCATAGTGCCCTTCTAGACCTCTCAAGAGTAACCTACGAATACAGAAGGGTGCCCATTTTGGCTTACGGTAGTTTCACGGGCCCTGAAAATGGCCTCAAACCTCCCATAAAGGGTTCTGATATACGGGCACTTAAGTGGTACTGGGTCTATAAGGGGTATATAAGGGGTACTCTTTTAAAGGCCCATACGAAGGGACCATGGAACTACCCTTAGATAGAGGGTTTGGGGTTTAGGGTTTAGGGTTTAGGGTTTAGGGTTTAGGGTTTAGGGTTTCGGGTTTGGGGCGTGGAGTCCGCCATTGAAGTGATGAACTGTAGGGCCTGGTGTGGACAGCCCTTTCTGCTCCACGATGGGAAAGTCAGAAATGGCACCTCGAAGGGGTTTAGGGTTTAGAGTTTAGGGTTTAGGGTGTAGGGTTTGTGGCCTTTAGGGTCAGGGTCGGGGACTCATATTTGTCTGGCGATCAAGGATATCCATATAAGAGGACCCATCTTGGACCCATATTCACTTAGAGTAAATCTCCGATGTGGGGGCGGTGTGGGTGAGGCGGGGAGAGAGGGACAAAAGTCATCTAGCTTGCCCCGTAGCCGAGAACTTTTTTTGCTTAAAAGTGTTGAAAAGGGAGCCGATACCCTAAACCCTAAACCCTCAACCCAAAAAGGTAATAAGGGGCATCCTAGCAAGTCTCCAGTGGGCTTTCTTACCTTCCAAACTAGAAACCCGGAACGCTCAGACGCCAAGCCTCGCCGACCCTTCACCCAAAGAACCCTAAACCCTAAACCCTAAACCCTAAACCCTAAACCCTAAACCCTCCAGCCCCTTCCCTGGCACCAAAGGCGGACACCAGCGAGGAGACTCCGCGATTCTTGCTGACAGGCTCAATGTCGGCCTCCTCGAGCCTTAGATGCTCTTTTTCGGGGTAGCTTAGGGGGGTTAGGGTTTAGGGTTTAGGGTTTAGGGTTTAGGGCTTAGGGCTTAGGGCTTAGGGTTTAGGGTTTAGGGTTTAGGGTTTAGGGTCAGGGTTTAGGGGTTTTTGGTTTAGGGTTCTCAGGGTTTAGCTAGGGTTTTCTTCTGTAGGTGACCCCTCAGCATACCCTAAACCCTAAACCCTAAACCCTAAACCCTAAACCCTATACCCTGTACAACCCCAGAGTCCATACTTCAGAACCCTCCGCTTCGGGGGCTTGCCTTCAGGCGGTGCCTCCGTAAAACCCTAAGCTTCAAACCGCAATCTCCCTACTCTGTTACTCTCCAAACCCTGACCGTCAGTCCAACAGTGCAGCAAAAAATGCATGCGTATTAGCGAACAACCCAAATACAGGGTTTAGTGTTTAGGGTTTAGGGTTTGCGGTTTAGGGTGTAGGGTTTAGAAAGGCTGTATTCACAGAGCACTCCGACAGAAGGCGCTTCATCCAGGTCGCTTCTCGTCCTTGTACCTAGGTTGCTCTCCGGATGGATTCCCTAAACCCTAAACCCTAAACCCTAAACCCTGAAATTACAGCGGTTGTCTAGACCCAGGAGTAGAAAAGGGAGCAGACCAAGCTTAGGGTTCAGGGTTGGGTTTAGGGTTTCTAAAAGGGCGTCCTTCTTGGTTCTGAAGGGGATTCTAAGGGAAGCTACACCCTAAATGAACGGGAGTGAGGGCCTACTCTGGGTCCCAGTTGTTTTCCGTTTTGGCATTGGGCGTGGGGGGTTTCGGATTTAGGGCTTTTGGGAGAGTTTAGGGTTTAGGGTTTATAGGGTTTAGGGTTTAGGGTTTAGGGTTTAGGGTTTAGGGTTTAGGGTTTAGGGTTTAGGGTTTAGGGTTTAGGGTTTAGGGTTTAGGGTTTAGGGTTTAGGGTTTAGGGTTTAGGGTTAGGTTTAGGGTTTAGGGTTTAGGGTTTAGGGTTTAGGGTTTAGGGTTTAGGGTTTAGGGTTTAGGGTTTAGGGTTTGGGGTTTGGGGTTTAGGGTTTAGGGCTTCTGTCAGGAGCAGCTGGCCACGTCTGTCCAACTGCTTTTCGAGGTGCTTGACAAGGTAGTAGAAGCCTGCCTTCCACGTCACAAAAATATAGGGTTCTTAAGGGAGAGGGGTTTAGGGTTTAGGGTTTAGGGTTTAGTGTTTAGGGTTTAGGGTTTAGGGTTTAGGGTTTAAGGTTTAGGATAACCCAGGGTTCCCTAGTACGCCCCACTAAGCTTCCCTAGGTACCTACCTCCCTTGAACCCCCCGCCCTTAAGAGCACTATAACAAACCCCAGCACTTGTGCGAAGCATGATGGCCCATGGTTGGGATGTTCCCCCTTGTACTAGCAGACCTGAACAGGGATTATAATGGGGGGTACCCTAAACCCTGAACCCTAAACCCTAAACCCTAAACCTAAACCCTAAACCCTAAACCCTAAACCCTAAACCCTAAATCCTAAACCCTGATAGTATGACGGGGAACATGCCAATGCAGGCATGTCGGCAAAGGCAGCAGAGACAACACTCAGCCAGCTCAGATTCCTGGTTTCAGCTCCAAAGAAATCTTGGCTTCGGATTGAGGGGCGTTTATGGTTGTGATGGCCCCTACCCACACGACATGGGCTTCAGGATTGGAAATAGAAAACAATAAACACTCGCAAAAAAAGACAACCCAAAAACACAAAAAAACAAAAAAACAGAAGCATCGACTCACAACAGCAGCAGCAAATCAACCAGCGACAGCTCTCGAGCCGTCCCAGGCACCCCCAGGCACCCCAAAAAAAGAATAGCAATCAAACAATAATCAAGAAATAACCCCGAAAGACTCAACAAAGATTCAGCCCCAGGAAAAGTCGAACAACACCATGCAACAAAGAAACAACACGACAAAAATGAAAACATAATGGCGAACTTGTTTTGGCTTGATTTTTGGGCCGATTCCTGGCTGATGCTTCTTGTATTCGGCAGGGCCTGAGGTGAATTGTTTGCGAGCTTTTTCGGCGGAGTTGTTTTTTTTGCGAGTTGCTTTGAACAAAAACCCAATAAACCATTTCGTGTGGGTGAGAAGCCATCACAAGTTTAGGGTTCAGGGTTTGCGGTGTTAGGGTTTAGGGTTTAGGGTTTGGGGTTAGGGTGTTAGGGTGGAAAGAAGCCACGAGTCGAAGGGCCTGAGGGCATCCTGTCCCGTTCACCAACCCTAAACCCTAAACCCTAAACCCTAAACCCCAAACCCCAAACCCTAAACCCTAAACCCCAAACCCGAAACCCTAAACCCTAAACCCTAAACCCCTAAACCCTAAACCCTAAACCCTAAACAAGCCCCCCCCCCCCCCCCCCCGGGCCTGGTACAGCGTCGCTGCCAAAGTCCGTCCAGTAAAGTCATTCTTGAAGTAGAAGTCGCTCCAAACCTACTATGTGCTCTTAAGAACCCCCAAAACAATGAAAAAAAAACAATTCGCTGAAGAACCCCAAAAAGAATACAAAAATGATTCGCCCTGTATTGCTACCCAATAGAAGGAAAAGTATGATTTTGTTCAATGAACTTGTTTTTGGGGTTCTAGAGACCTGGCATCCATCGTCGGGATTTTGGGGAAAGGGTTGGGGGTTTACGACTTGCAGGTTAGGGATGCTTCCCCTTACGCTAGCAGTTCGTTCTTGGAGATTAACATAAGGGGTACTCGAATCCCTCTTAAGGACTGTTAGTAGAAGAGGGAACATCCCAACTTGTAGGATTCTACAAAAAAAGCCAAAGGCAAGCGACCCCGCCAACTGATTTACAGCTCAAGGCAACATCAAGTCGGAAATGTCTCCCCAAGCATCTTCACTCCCCCAAACCCCACCCTCTACAAGACCTCAACTCTCAACCTAAACCCTAAACCCTAAACCCTAAACCCTAAACCCTAAACCTAAACCCTAAACCCTAAACCCTAAACCCTAAACCCTAAACCAAGCAAGTAAGAAGCGCACCAAAGGACCCCGTTTATTGCTATTTTATTGGGTCCGTCGTCCACCAATCCGGCTTTTGGAGTTCAAGAATAAGGTTTAGGGCTTAGGGCTTAGGGCTTAGGGTTTAGGATTTAGGGTTTAGGGTTTAGGGTTATTCCTAAACTTCGTTCTTTTGGTATCTACAGATACAATGGAATTAACAATGGCTTCACCGTGTAAACGAGAACTCCCTCGAAGATTCAGAAGCTTCTAGGGATTTTATGATTGAAAACGCATGACGCAAACACAAGATTGTTCTACTAAGATCCCTAAGCACCCTAAGCACCCCTAAACCCTAAACCGTAAAGTCCAAAACATCTCTCAATCTCAGGAGGAGATGGTGCGTCAAGTGGCCGTGAGCTTCAAGGTCCTGAGCGATAAATCGCCACGGTTCAGGGATCTTCGCCATGTTCAAGATTGCTGAGGGCTTTTGAGTAGTCTTTAGGGTTTAGGGCACATATCCTAAATATAGTCCTCTGAAACCCAACAAGGGAAAATACAACTCTAAACCCTAAACCCTAAACCCTAAACCCTAAACCCTAAACCCTAAACCCTAAACCCTTCACCCTAAACCCTAAACCCTAAACCCTTCCCAAGCAGCCTACCGAGCCAAAGCTGGCTTAGGGCTTTTGCTCAGTGTCTGCTTCTTGCTGGGGGGGGGGGGGGGGGGGGGGGGGACTCGCTGGTTTCCGCCTGGTATCGTGAAAGGCTGTGGGTGTTGAGTGTTGGCGTTGCTTGGGTTTTTTTCTTAAGTCAACCCTAAACCCAAAACCCTAAACCCTGAACCCTGAACCCTGAACCCTGAACCCTAAACCCTGCCCCGAAGGAAAAAAACCTCTCAAAGCAGGTGAGGCTCAGCTTCTCAGCATCCCACTCCCCGGTGCTGAAGCAAGCAGCCACATCCGGTAGGGGTAAACCCTGGAGCAGGCAAAGCGTCGGGTTTAGGGTTTCTTAGTTGTCCAGTACCTAGGGGTTTTAAAGGTTAACCTTTGGGACTTTAAGGGGAATATATTAACCCAAAAAGGTTAAAGGTTACCTACTCTACTACTAAGGTTTAGGGTCTTGGACACGGGTTTAGGATCTTAGGGGTCGGTAGGGAGGATTCTTTGTCAGTATGCGTCAGACTGTAATTTGGGGAGGGTGGGGGGATTGCCTGCCGCAGCCTTGCTACAAACATGACACTTACCAAACCGAACACAGAACACCACACACACACACACACACACACACTCACATAGGTAAAGATCAGTACAACATACAGATGTAGATAGATACAGAAGTAGATGTACAAGTTGGCGGGAAGCTTGCAAGCAGGGCGTTCACTTCGAGCGCTGGAGTGTTTCTCATGTCGTGGCTGCTCTGACATCATGCCAAGGGCCAAGTACCAGCACTCTTCCCCACACAGGGTTTTGGATTCAGGCTTAGGGTTTAGGGGGTTTAGGGTTTAGGGTCCAGGGATCAGGGGACACAGCAGCACAGCTTTTTACACTCTCAACCCTAAACCCGAATGAAACCCTAAACCCTACACCCTACACCCTACACCCTAAACCCTAAACCCTCCTAAACCCTAAACCCTGCTCACCCGCGCACCCATCACAGCCTTGAGCCAGTAGAGCCCCGCGATCTTGGCCGGGGGCCGTGCTGCTTCCGGGAGGTTCCGAGGATTGCAATGGCGCTTGCCTGGGCTGTACTTGGAGGTTCAAGGTTTAGGGTTTAGGGTTTATAGGGTTTAGGGTTTAGGGTTTAGGGCTTTTGGGGGCTTCAGGGCTTTTAGGGTTTCAGGGTTAAGGACTTTTTGGGTTTTGGGGTTTTGGGGGTTTAGGGTTCTATCCAGGTGTCTGGACAAGGCCTCCAAGCTTAGATTCATCTGTGTCGGGCCTATCGGCATCGAAGGTTTAACGATGGCAGCGCTTTCTTTTTGGCTGCCAGCTTCAAGACAGGAGGGGATTGCAGGTAGGGGTTTCCGGGCCCAAGACTGGCCCCTAAACCCTAAACCCTAACCCCTACACCCTAGACAAAGCAAACCCAAACCTAAACCTTAAACCCTAAACCCTGGACCTAAACCCTGGAAACAAGCAAGCACAAGATGACAAATGACAAGCCAGGCCAACATCCTACACGATAGTGATCATGCGATATGACCAACTATTCAGAATACGACTTCGACAAAAGAACCAAAACTAAGAACAATGAGAATCATAAGACAAACAACTCTCGTACGCTTAAAAAGGATTGTAGCAAACTGAATAACATCCAGGACACCAAAAGCAATAGCACTGGAAAACGGCTGAGCGAAACAAAGCAGACAGATGTGTCTATATAAATATATATATATATATGGCTCAAGGCAGCTTGGCTGAGGCCGGCGCTCAAGCCGTACACGGCGCACATCGATGGGCTTTGCTGCAGAAACATAGAAGACTCGTCTTGAAACTGGTGGTGAAGCTGGTGTGTCTATATATACATACACACATACCTATACACATCAGCCAAAGCTCCCCCCCCCCCCCCTTCCCAAACCCTAAACCCTAAACCACCCTAAACCGCAAACCCCAAACCCCAAACCCCAAACCCCAAACCGTAAACCCTAAACCCTTCCCCCCCCTTCCCCCCACCCCCCTTCCCCCGAAAGCAAAAACATCCAAAAGGGGCCTCGCTCCAGCAGGTCCTTCAGCTCAAAATCTTCTTCGCAGGCAGGCAGAGGGAGTAGGCCTCTGACGTTTGGCTTTTAGGGATTTTGGGGTTTAGGGTTTTTGGGTTTTACAGGTTTAGGGATTTAGGGATTTTGGGTTTTAGGGGTTTTAGGGGTTTTAGGGTTTCGGGATGAGGATTTAGGGCCTGAGTTTAGGTTAAGGGTTTGCTGGCTGCGCTTATGCCCTTTGCCAATCCGCATCTCTTGACTTGGTTTTGTTTTTTTGGACGGGGGAGGGGGTGGGATTCGGTGCGGGGGGGTGAGGGCGGGTGTTTGGGGGCGGGGGTGGGGAAGGCTAGGAAAGTAAAAAATGTAGCACGACGGAAGCAGGCATGGAAAATGACCGTTGTTTGCCTTGGACAGTCTCGGATGCTGATCCGCTCGCGATGCACGAGGGTCGTTTGCACTACCACTTCGCGGAGGGTACGCGTACGCAGCACCGTCGTCCCAGGCACGAAGTTCGATCGTATCGAGCTGTTGGCAATTTTCAAAACCTTAAACCCTAAACCCTAAACCCTACACACATCCCCAAGACTTTGTACCCAAACACGAAGCCATTCTGGGAATCCCGGTACAAAAGCCTTTAAAGCCCCAACCCTCAAGCACAAAAACACACTACACGGCTCCATAGCTCCATAGTCTATAGCCCTTTGTGAACCCGTAGCCCTTTATCCCAAAGCTTGAACCCCCAAACACCCAACCCCACACCCCAAACCCTAAACCCTAATGGCTTCGGCTGGAATGTGATGGGTGATTCTCGAAGCTTGGGCGCCCTAAACCCTAAACCCTAAACCCTAAACCCTAAACCCTAAACCCTAAACCCTAAACCCTAAACCCTAAACCCTAAACCCTAAACTTTACCCTAAACCCTAGACCCTAGACCCTAGACCCCGACCCTAGACCCTAAACCCTAAACAAACCCAACACCGTGCGTCGAATGAGAAGTTGGCACCCTGAAAGGAAGGACCCCCGAAAACAAACCTAAACGCCTGAGCATCCGCAAGCAAGGCTCTGACTCGGTTTAGGGTTTAGGGTGTTAGGGTTTAGGGTTTAGGGTTGAGGATTTAGGGTTTAGGGTTTAGCGTTTAGGGTGAAGGGCCGCTAAGCTAGAGGATCACCCATCACATTCCAGGCTTTGACTGATCAACCCCAAACCCTAAACCGTAAATCCCAAACCTTAACTCCAGAGCCCTCCGAGACCCTAAACCCTAAACCCTAAACCCTAAACCCTAAACCCTAAACCCTAAACCCCAGAGCCCTCCGAGACCCTGAATCCAAACCGGCAATTCAAGAAGCCTCCCGTGGGCACGGTGCCCCCGCAGGTCGCATCAGCGCTAGAACCTTGGCGTTGTGCTGGTCACGGTGTAGGGTGTAGGGTGTAGGGTGTAGGGTGTAGGGCTTAGGGCTTAGGGTTTAGGGTTTAGGGTTTAGGGTTCAGTTGCTTTCCAAGGTTGGATTCAGGCTGCTGGCCGGCTGCCCTGAAGTGCAGACTAACCTGATGGCCCTAAACCCTAAACCCTAAACCCCAAACCCTAAACCGAACCCTAAACCCTAAACCCTAAACCCTAAACTCTAAACCCCAAACCCTGAACCCTAAACACGCTTGCCGACCCTCAAGAAGCGTCGAAAGCGATGAATCTAGGGGCTGTACTAAGTAGACTAGGGTTTTGGGGGGCTATTATCGTCATACAATTACATAGGGACCATGAAATGCCAGTAGTAAATCATGCGGCCCCTATAACACTAGACCCAGGAGTCACCTAGGAATAAAAAGGGTAATTACCCTTTTGGTTTTAAGGGGATTATAAGGGAACCCCAAACCCGAACAAAAAACAACTCCGGGTCCTAGATTAGGTCTGAAGAACGTCCAGGGGACAGGTTTCGTCGGCGATGGCAGACAAAGGCAGAAGCAGCAAGGGAAGCAGGGCCACCATCATCGGAGAACCGGTTTCGAGAGCGGATGCCCCCAAGCTGACCAAACTTGCCTAAACCCTAAACCCTAAACCCTAAACCCTAGACCCTAGACTCCCTGGACCCTAAACCCTAAACCCTACCACACGGCCTCGTTTTGAAGCCGCGATCCCAGACCCTACTTCTGATAACTGACCCATGAATCTTTCGAAGCCAGCAACCCCTGCTGTAAGGGTTTAGGGCTTAGGGTTCAGGAACTCGATTGTTGAACTATATATTTTGGCTACCTTGCAGGTCTCTGCAGACCCAAAAGCATCTCCCACAACACGAGAGCAAACATGAAGAGTACCTGCACACGCGCATGTGCCCACACGTGCATTTGTCTCTGGATAAGAACGATGTACGGTAGGCTACTCAGTACGCAGATGTTGTACACACATACCGTCACAAACAATACGTGGTACAAGAAAACAGAGAGCCCCCTAAACCAGAGAGAGAGAGAGAGAGCGGGATAGAGGGAGAGAGAGAGAGAGACAGAGAGAAAATGAAAGCAAATAGTGAGAAGATAAAGAGTAAGAGGCTTAAGGCACAGCATTCCCATGCCCCCAATAAACCCACCCCCCACATGGCCTGGTCTGCCCACCAACAAAACACGATGCTTGCCGCGGAGAGTAGGATGAACATCGAGGGATCAGCACGCTTGCCTGGAGGAGGAGGGAAACCGCGTAGGGCTCCTAATCCCTTGACCCTAACACCTCAAACACCTAAAGCTTAAACGGCACAACTCGATGTCGGGATTGAATTCGCACTTGAAACGTGAAAGTCTCTCGTAGCTTGTCTACACGGGCTCAGGGTTTAAACTCCTGAGTCTCTAGGGTTAAAAAACTCGGAAGCCCTGCATTTGCTTTGGAGTTCCCAAACACCAGAAGCCGAAGAACCACAGGGTTCTTAAGGGACGGGGCTTCACGGGAGGGAGCCTTAGGGAAGCTTAGGGAGCCTTAGGGAGCAGAGGGAGTACTAGGGAACCTTGGGTTACATACCCCCCCTTGAACCCAAAAGAACCCTATAAAAGAAGGCGGGCCACCCTAGACCCAGGATATCCGGACACTCTGGGCTAGGTTTTGAACGCTCCCTGTGCTGAAGTTTCAGGGTTTCCCGGTCCTCTACGAGCTCCAGCACTCTGGCACTCCAGCACCCTAAGCCCTAAAGACCCCAAAGGACGAAGCACGAATCTGTACAAAACGATTCGACAGGGCTAACAAGGCCATTGTCTTCGTGCGCTTGCCTCTCGACCCCACATACGCTGAAGTAGTCGGAGTTGGTTCAACTTGAGAAGGGGTCGGCCCAAACCCTAAACCCCCAACCCTCTAAATTCTATGTTTCGGAAACCTCACTAAAAAAGCACCAAAGCCCTCAGCCCTAAACCCTACATTTAAACGAACACAAAACCCTGGAGAGCTCGAGCTAAAGACACCAAAAGCCTAACCCGAAACCCGTTTATACTGCCTCTGTGGATACCAAGTTAAAACCTCAACTCTGATAACTTTAGAAGGAACTTTGGTGCCTAGATTGGTTTGGTTAAAGCTATATTTGGGGTTTAGGGTGTAGGGCGTCTTCAAAGACATGTAAATGTCAGGGGTTACCACAGGTAATTAGATGCGATTCGTCCTCCGATGTTGTTCGGGTTGACAGGTGACCCCTCGCTCTTCGCAAAAGGCACCTTAAACCCTAAACCCTAAACCCTAAACCCTCAACCCTAAACCCTAAACCCCCACCTTCTGCGAGCAACTTCATATTTCCGTACAGAAGGATCGGGGCAATGATGTAGAACCTGAGGTGCGCCACATGCTCCTAACCTGTCTCCTGACTCTCGGATGTGATTGGGAAAAGTGTGGATTTGGGGGGTTTAGGGTTAGGGTTTAGGGTTTAGGGTTTAGGGTTTAGGGTTTAGGGTTTAGGGCTTGGGGTGGCTAATTTGGGAGTGGGAGCACTGCACCAGCCCATAGAAACAAAACACAAGTTCACGGATACAACCCCAAAGCTGCTGAGGCAGCGGCTGCTCCTCAACTCCTTGGTGGCCCAGTAACCAGATTATCACAAGGGCACCCTTTTTTGGGGTTGGTTGCTTTATAAGGGAACCCAGAGCAAAAAAAAATAGTTTAGGGTTTAGGGTTTAGGGTTTAGGGTTACCAAGGCTCCCAAGGACCATAGGTGCAGGAAGGGGTTGTAGGCATGGACATCCTTGCTGAGGAGGTCCTGAACGGCTCAACGGACCAACCAGGGCTGCCTAGGGCTCGGGCTTTTCAAGTTTGAGCCCTAAACCCTAAACCCTAAACCCTAAACCCTAAACCCTAAACCCTAAACCCTAAACCCTGAACCCTGAACCCTGAACCCTGAACCCTGAACCCTGAACCCTGAACCCTGATTCCTAAACCCTAGTTTAGAGCCGTAAGCCGTTACAAGGCGCCAAACCAAGAACCTCAAGCGGCAGCCTAAGGACAACGCCATGGCTTTCTGCAGCCCTACTGCCAACCTACCCGTCAAAACTCGCTCCCACAGGCCCTTGTACATTCTAAGGGGTACTTGGGAGGTTCAGGAACCCCCAGCCCTGATAGGGCTGATTTGGGTGGGGGAGGGGGGCTGTGAAAGAATTCTTCTACTATTGCTTAAGCATTAAGAACCCCCAAGAAGGAATTATCTTTACATTTCTTGAGGGATTCTTAACCCTAAACCCTAAACCCTAAACCCTAAACCCTAAACCCTAAACCCTATTGTTCCGAGTCAAGCCACCATGTAGTCGTCGCCTTACGAGCGTTGGCTCACTCAGGCAGAGGTTGAGGGCTTGAGGGTTCCAGGATGGGCGAGTATACCGTATAACCCTTTGAAAGGCCCGTTATAAGGTTTAGGGTTTAGGGTTTAGGGTTTAGGGTTGATTCTGGGGATTAGAAGGCCGAACAGCCCATCCTGGTTGTATCCCCTTCTATCAACCCTAAGCCCAAATTCCCAAGGCATGGACTTGTGGAAATAGGGGATAGGACCCCTTAGGGTTGAGGGTTTAGGGTTTAGGGTTAAGGGTAATCCTAAAGCGCAAGACCCGCATGTGAGGTTGTTCTACATTGTGGTGTACTTGCAATCAGCCCGTGCTGCTGTGACATGTGGCGCAGTTCCGTTTACCGCGCTTCCGAACACGGACCCTAAACCCAAAACCCTAAACCCAAAACCCTAAAAACTAAACCCTAAATCCTAAACCCTAAACCCTAAACCCTAAACCCCAACATGCCAGGGCATCTTTCCGAGATCAGCTTCTACGATTCTACAATTGGGTCGCCTCATGAAACCAGGTTCTTTTTTGGCCTTCGTTATGGGGGACTTTCGTATACTACCACTTACTGGCCCAAAAACCAAGGAAATAAAAGTTGAAACTTTCAGAATAAACTACCATATAAGAAGCCCAAAAGTTGAAAAGTTGGGTTTTGAGCCAGTAAGACCACAACAAGGCACTGATTATGAGCCTTTGGGTTCCTTGCAGCAGTTGAGGACATCTGCCACCAGGCAGCGCTCGTAGACCAGCCAGTTATTTGCATTTGCGAACCTTGCAGCTGCAGCTGAGATTCGCCCGATCCTAACCCCCCCCGCCCCCCCACGGTTTAGGGTTTAGGGTTTAGGGTTTAGGGTTTAGGGTTTAGGGTTTAGGGTTTAGGGTGAACCCGAAGCCGTCCATACCCGCAGTGCAGCCGCAACAGTTTCAACAACTAATATGCAGCTTCTTTGCAAGGAAACCGGCTGGCATCGGGAGCGATGAAGAACTGCAAGAGAAAAGGCTGCTACTGCTCGACGCGTTGCTGTTATACATATATATATATATGTACACACAGAATGTATGTATACATAGAATATACAGCAGAGGTGTAATTAAATGAATGGATGCCAAGAAGCGTTCCTGAGAGGCCCACCAGGAGGAAACGCTCCTGAGCCACCCAAAACCCGGAGACGACCTCTGCCTCTGACCCTCATGCCCCCTGGTTCTTAGTAGGGAATGAGGGAATGAGGGCCCCAGAAAAACCCTTTAACGGTTTTTACTCGGGAATGAGGGAATGAGGGCCCTATATATATATTTATTTATTTTTTTATTCATGTATTTATTTATATGTATATTTATATACCCCTTAAGGGATTATATAGAACCCTCATTCCCCCATTCCCTACTAAGAACCAGCCAGCAGGAACACCCACGCTTGCCTGAATCAAGGGACTAAAGGAGGGACGCTTATAAAGGACCTTAGGGGTTATTAAGGAGTTTTTTTTCGGCGCTACTTAGGAAAACAGGGGCTAAATAGAAGCTAGTTGTAGGGGTTCAAAAGGGGAATCAGGCTAAGGGTCCCTTCCAGGGGTCCCTCCTTCGACCAATTAATATGGGCCTTGAATGGAAGGCCCCTGAACCTACCCGAAGAGAACTTAGTCTCTTGAAATGGGGCGGCTGGTGTCTCTTGAAGGAAGTCCCTTCGTCTGTGTGCAAGAGCCCTCGAGCCTCCCATCGGATAGGGACCCTGCTGTAGGTACGACATTCTGGCACAGCTCTGTTCATGTTTCCCTCAGCTCTTGCTACGGATTACTATAGCTTGTTTCCGAGACAGGGGTCTGTCTGGGTGGGATACTTAGGGGAGCCCATATTTGGGAAATTCAACCTTTGCGTGGCCTGATACAAACTTCAAGCATGAAGCTTCAATCGCTTCACTCTCAGGCCCGAAGAACTGTAGGCCAAGGATCTGCACGCGGGTCCCAGTGCGGCGCTACCTCGGCACTACGAGCGAAACGGAGCTCAGAGTCTCAGAGCTTTTTTTTTTTTTTTTGGGGGGGGGGGGGAGGGGGCATGTTAGCCTTTCAAACAAGAACCTATCAGCATACCTTCAATCGGAGAATCTTCGCGGTGTTTTTGTTTTTTTCTTTCCTGGGTTCTGCCCAGCCATTACACTTTTAATGAGACTGAACCAACCGTATGCGCTGCATGGCAATGGATGATCTGGCAAACGGCTGCATCGGTACAGTCAGACCCTAAACTTAGTAAGTTTTGAGTCAGGGTAGGTGGGCATCAAAGTGTGATGTGTTTGCACCATCTTGTAGGTTTTCTAAACTAGGGTTGAGTGCTTCTAAAGGTTAGGGGCCTTTTGAGAGACTTCCTTGAAATGAGATCCGACTCCTCACAGGCATCTAGAGCGGGGAGGGGGGGTGGGGGTGCATGTGCTGGGGCTGGGGAGCTGCGGGGGGGGGGGGGGGGGCGGGGCTAATATTCGCCAGCATTTCGGAGCCTGAATGACCTTATGTCCACGCTCAACCCGGGTCCCGATAGACCCTAAACCCTCAAGCTCAGGATAAGCAGAAACTGCATGTTTTCGCAGCCACGCAAACATGACCAACGCAATGCTCCAAAGGCCTGAAAGCCACAAAGGCCCCCAAAAGGCAGCCGAAAGTAAACTCTATCGAGGGCTTGAAACAAGCCTAAAGATTCTGACTTTTCAGGAGAAAAAAACCCAAAAAAACAAAGACTAGGGACAGTGAGAACCATCCCGGGATCTAGGGTTCAAGGTTTAGGGTTTAGGGCAAGTTGGAGCCAGGTCTCCAGAGCTAGAGCCAGGGCAGCGCAAGAGATGACCAGGAGGGAGAGGGGCAGCAGCCCTGTGGAACTCTCAGGGTCTAGGGTTTAGGGTTTAGGGTTTAGGGTTTAGGGAGCAGCCCTCAGGGTGGAGGCGGATTCTAGGAAACCGGAACCCCATAGAGGGTACTTACTTGGGAGGATTGAGGAAGTTTTGCAGATGCATTCGGTTGTTCAGGGACCTGGGACCACATGGTCACTACACGTCTGGAGTCACGTGACTCTCTCTAGATTGCTGCGCTGCGTCTTTTTTGGCGTTTTTTTCCACATCTTCTTCGGGTTCGGTTTTAGGGCCGTTTAGGGTTTAGGGTTTAGGGTTTAGGGTTTAGGGTTTAGGGCTTAGGGTTTAGGGTTTAGGGTTTATGGAGGCTGAAGGCTGACGACCGACTGCAATGAGCCAGCACGAAGGAAGGCAATGAGAATATGAGTCACCCTAAACCCTAAACCCTAAACCCCTAGGAACAAACAAGGGTACCCTTCTTGGTTAAAGGGGAGTATAAGGGAACCTAAGCGTTAAAAACAGGGAACAAGGGCCTACTCTGGGTCCTCGTGGTCCTAGTGGTGGGAGTCGAAATCATGGTCCCAGCAGCAAAGCGGGAGTGGTACAAAAGAATGTGAAGCATTTAGGACTTTGCGAATGTAAGGGACCCCCAAGATAGACCCCACATAGTAGGATTCCCTTGTAATAATAGCGACCCCAATAAGGTACCCCTAATTTCAACATATCTGCGCCAGTGCCCCAGACAGTCGTAACCTAATGTGAGGCAGCTTAGTAAACCCTATCCCTAAGGATCCATGCAGCTACATGATGTATACTTGGGCCCTGAAGGCTACCATATAGAAACCCCTTGAAGGCCCCAAGTATAACTATATAGAAACCCCTTGAAGGCCCGAAGTATATACCCTACGCGCATATGGGATCCTTAGGGTAAATCTTAAAAGCCCTTCACGGGAAGATCGCCTTCGAAGGCCTTCAGGGCTCAGGGTTTTGGGGTTTTGGGGTTTGGGGGTTTAGGGGTTTAGGGGTTTCGGGGTTTCGGGGTTTAGGGGTTTGGGGGTTTAGGGGTTTAGGGGTTTCGGGCTTCGGGGTTTCGGGGTTTAAGGGTTTAGGGGTTTAGGGGGTTTAGGGTTTAGGTTAGCTGGGGGCCCTTTCTTGCTGCCATGCGGCGCTTCGCTCGCCGCGCAAAGAACTCGCAAGCGAAGCCGTAGAAGCTGGCCTGCGGTGTAGGGTTTAGGGTTTAGGGTTTGGGTTTGGGGTTTAGGGTTTAGGGTTTAGGGTGTCGGGTTCAGGGCTAGGAGTTTCTTTGTTTGGGTCCCCAAAGCCGCAACGAACTGGTAGGCTCTACCGAATATAGACCCTCCCCCTCCCCCCCCCATAGAGCAACCTCGGCACCCCTTGGTTGTGAGGGCATCTCGTTTTTTTGCAGCTTGCTTGCTTCTGTGGATGTTCCGATCATGGCTGGCAGAGAACTTTGCTCTGCCAAAGAACCGTTTAGAGTTTAGAGTTTAGGGTTTAGGGTTTCGGGTTTAGGGTTTAGGGGAACCCCCCCAAAAAAATCGTAAGCCTCGAAACACCAAGCACCCTAACCCTAAATCCCAAACCCTATAAGCCCCAAACCTGTACATGACGGGTACCCTCGACCCCTAAAGAATGTGGTGGAAATTCTCTACATCACCTGGAGCAGACTGCATTCAGGAAGAGAAATCGTTGTGGCCCCAGGGCTCAAAGAGCTCCTTTGTTGGAAATCGTCCAGTCTTATACGCCGTTAGGTCCTGGGCTTGCAAGGTTTAGGGTTTAGGGTTTAGGGTTTAGGGTTCAGGGTTCAGGGTTCAGGGTTCAGGGTTCAGGGTTCAGGGTTCAGGGTTTAGGGTTGAAGTTTCAGGCCTTGAGGGCCAATAGCCTAAGCCCTAAACCCTATGGACCCGATGAGGGCTCAGAAGGTTTTTGACTCATCAAGGGGAACAACAAAACTTAGAGAACGACTCATCTGTCACTACAGAGAAAAAAAGAGAAGTTTAGGGGTTTGGGTTTCCAAGCGCTCTTACGCCACCGGCCACCTAGGAGAAACAGGTTCAAGAGCGTTCCTGGCCTGCATTTGGATCCGTGGTTTGGGGGGAAGGGGGCCTTCTTTGTCCTCTTTAGCCCCTAACGCTAAACTCAGAAACCGCCCGAACCCATGCACAAAACTCAAAACACCAAACCCTAAACTCTGAACCCTGAACCCTAAACCCTAAACCCCAAACCCTACTGTTAGAAGCCAAAGCCCTCAAATTCCCCAATCCGAGGGATGCCCATCAGCCCATCTTGGCGCGACCTCCTCGACGCGATCTCTCAACGAAGATGTGACGACCTGGAGCGCACGCCGTTAGGGCATGTGTATACACTTATAAATAAATAAATAAATAGATGTATATACATATATAGATACATAGACATATACATACATACATACATACATACATACATACATACATACATACATACATACATACATACACAAAGCAAAAAACACTTCGAACATCCCAACCCTCTCTTGGTAGAGATACTCTGGGGTTGGGCACTCCAGGGACACTCTGGCTGGGCACTCCGGGGACACTCTGGGGTTGGGCACTCCAGGGAGTGCGGGGACACTGGTTCCAGGGAAACTCAGGAAGACTCTGGGCTCGGCTCTTCGGGGACACTCTGGGGTTGGGCAATCAAGGGAGTTTAGGGTTTAGGGTTTAGGGTTTAGGGTTTAGGGTTTAGGGTTTAGGGTTTAGGGTTCAGGGTGTTGTTCCGGGGATCACTTGTGTAGGTGCTAGAGTTCGGTCTGTCGCCACCCCCGGTACTCAAACTTGCTTCAGCAGCCCATGGATACCATGAACAGCGATCCCTAAAAGGTAGATACGATGACAACTACAGCCTTTTGTTGCCTAGGCTTTCTACAGCTAGTCCCAGTGTATGTGTGTGAAAGCTCACAGCATCCCGAAAGCCCGGATCCCAAACCTTTGCGCGCCCAAAACCTTATCCTGGGCGTTCAAAAACCCTACATCTGTGGCTCCAGGCCCTGCGCCCGAAACCCTTGTCAAATTCCTAAGCCCTAAGCTCTAAACTCTAAACCCTAAACCTAGTTAGGGTTTTTAGACCCTCAGGGTTCAGCTCCAAACCCTCAACACCCTGACCCAGCCAATGCCAACAGCTGGGCTTAGAAGTTTAGGAGCCTAGACGCTGGGGCTTTGCCTGCTTCGGGTTCTGGCTAACCCTATAAACCGAAAAAACCTGAAAAGAAACGCATAGACCCTTTTACACCCTGCCCTTAAAAGCCCATATACAGACATACGCATATAGTATACACATATAAAAATTAAATATGTATGTATTTGTTTTTCTTGATTCGTTGCTATTATAGTATATGTGTGGTTGTTAGAATTTAAACTCAACGCTTCTCCTCGCCCGGAACTCTTCTCCTCGCCCGGTCTACTCCTCGCTCATCCCTGGAGTGCCCAAACCCAAAGAGTCCCTGCCCAACTCTAGATTGTCCCTGGAGTGCCCAACCCCAGAGTCTCCCCAGAGTGTCCATCACCAGAGACCCTAAACCCTAAACCCTAAACCCTAAACCCTAAACCCTAACCCTAAACCCTAAGTTAGGATGCCGAAGTCCGACTTAATTAACGTCTTCGAAGGTGCTGTATTTTTATGGGGACTATAAAGAGGGAACCTCATTTCGAGAGCTATAGGCATAGGGTTTAGGGTTTAGGGTTAAGGGTTAAGGGTGTAGGGTTTAGGGTTTAGGGTTTAGGGTTTAGGCATGTGCAGAAGCATAGGCCTCAGGCTTCTGCGTTGTGGGACAGTGGGGGCTGGTCTGCCTTAAGGGGGTGGGGCATTCTCAAGCCGAATTGCAAAGCCGGAGATGATGAAGAAGATGTCGACGCCCA